TGGACTTCGCGGGCGTTACCGAAGCCATCACGGCCGCGACCACGACCAATGCGCCGCGCAACGATACGTACGTAAAGGCCTTTCATGCCGTCTTCAATCTTCATGCGTCCGGAGTACTTCTTGTCAATGTACTGGCAGAAGATTTGTTGTAGCTCGCGGTCTTCGTAGTCCTGGAACTCCATTCGGATTGGTATGCGGCTCGGAATGCCAGGGTTGTGGGAGAAGAAGGCTTCCATCTGCTTGTGGTAGCCTGCGAGAACAAAGACGACCTTGCCTGTCAAGTTCTCCATTTCTGCAAGCAGGTAGTCGAGCACCGCTTTGCCGCCGGGACTGTTTCCAGATACCAGTTGATACGCTTCATCGATGAAGAATACACCACCTCCTGCTTGGAGTATGTCATCAATGTGGGTCTTGCAAGCGGATACGCCGTCATTTGCAAGAGCTGATCCAGAACTCTCAATGAAGTGGCCACCAGGCAAAGCTCCTACCTCAACTAGGAACTTGGCGTAGTGCCTAGCCACAGTCGTCTTTCCTGTCCCAGGATTGCCTAGCAGGGCAGCACCGAAACGCTCCCCTTTAAGTGATACACCCTGACGTACGACCGTATCGACTTTGGCCTTGATCGCGAGGAACTGCTGCTTGACGGATTCAAGCCCTATCATAGGTACCAGAGAGTCGAGAGCTTCGTTTTCTGCACCCTCAAATTTCTTCTGCCATTCCCACTCATCTCTGGCTTCACTCTTGTCCCAATCAGGCTGGTCCTCGTCCGAATCCGACGACGTGGGTTCGTCATTGGTCGGGGTATCGTTACGGTGATCAGTCGTTGTACTTGGCGCTGGTTTATCGCCTTGTTGTTTGGTAGTATCGGATGGTGGAACCGGCGTAGTAGTAGATGTCGAAGGTGCCGGCACTGGAGCGTTTTTGGATTTCTTGACCCTCTCCTGCAGGTTGCGAAGATCTTGCTTCTTCTGCTCCAGCGCTTGCTGGCGGTCTCTTTCCTCGGCCTGCTCTTTCAGAAGGCGCTTCTGGTGCTCCATCTCTTCCTCAATCTCGACTAAACGAGCGGTATATGCACGTTGTTTGGCCTCTCGTTGTTCGTCTAGCTCGTGGTCGCGTTGCCGCTTCTTTTCCTTGGCTCGCACTTCGGCTTCACATTTCCGACAGTGCGCTGGCGCCTTGTCATGGCACTTTCGAGTGGTCTTGTGCTTACTAGGGCATGTTGAGGAGATGATGACATTGCAATCCATTCGTGAATGGTCTTGCAACTGATGACATTGACGGGGACAAGCATGCAGTCCGCAGTTGAGTAGTTTGCCACATGGTTCAGAGCAGCCGCCGTCTGGACACACCGTATCGAATTGTTCTTTCTCGGTTAGAAGCGCGGTCTTTTCGGGATGCTGCTCGCATTTGACAGGAAAGCCGTCGTAGACATGGCCGTCCCGCTTCAGCTGGTCCATAAGCTGTACCCATACTTCCTTGCCTTTGCGACTGTTCATAAAAGTGTCTGCGTTGCCGATCATGATCAAACCGTTTCGCGCTCGTGATAGCAACACGTTGACTCGCTGAGGAGACGACATGAAACCGATATCCCCAGCATCGTTACTGCGTGTGAGACATGCAATTACGATATCGCTCTCTTCACCTTGATAGTTGTCGATAGTTGAAATGCGAAGCTTGCGTTTGGAAATGTTCGCGCCAGCCGGCGTCATTAGACCCGCTTTGATGAGCTCGTAGGAATCCAGATCGTTTAAAATGGGGTCATTTTCCTTGGACAGAGTGTTCATCAACAGGTATAGTTGACCCAGGTAAGGTGTCAGCACCACAATGTCTTCCGTACCGTAGCCCTGCTGACCAAGGTACCGCACGCATTTCAGCACCATCTCAGCCTCGTACAAGTTTTCCTTGCTGGACTTAGCACCTCCATCGCGGCCGTCGGCAATCTGTACCGCGTTGAGCTCAGGGCGCGAATGTGACACGAATATAACGTTGCTTTGAAGACCACGTAAGTTCGGTCGACCTTGAGTCTTCTCTGCATCTTCCAATTCCGGATATGTGAGCGACCGAACGAGGGACGAGATCTCAGGGCGCATACGATGCTGCTTGCTGAGCGTGGTATGTGGAACTCCGCTGAGCACGAGGCGTTCGAACAGAGAGACATTGAGATCGTAGCCATCTCCTTTTTCTACAGTCAAGGCATAGTTGTTGACTTTTGGCCGCAGCTGTTTGTGATCGCCGATCAGGATGAGCTGCTTCGTGGTTGGGGTTAGAGCTGTAAGCACATGACTCTCCAGGATCTCTCCAGCTTCTTCCACCAGAACAATGCCTGGTGAGGCCTTGCGGATCTCTTCGGTGTACATAGCAGCTGCTGTGGTAGTGCATCCGATGATGCGTCTCTGACTGAGCACGTGAAAGTTCTTCTCGCGAAATAGTCGAACGACCTGGGCACAGCATTTGTTGTACTTGTTGGCAAGTGTGCTTATTTCGGTGACCCGCTCTTCAAGTATCGTCTTGTTCCACTGCGCCTGAAGTCCAAGACGGATCTGCGGCGGAACATTCCAAACGTGTGGATATGTTTGCATCGCATGACCAAGGAAGATACCAGCGTCTTCTCCATTGACCCATCTCTTGACTAGGTAGTACTTGTCGATGCGTTTATTCTTTTTCCCCATAACTGTCATACCGTCTTTATTGTCGGGCACAACAAACGCATCGAAGTATTCTGAATCATCCGAGAACTCTAAGTAGTCTAGGAGCATCTGCTCATTGAGCCGCATAGACGTAAAAGATGTCATCCTCCTGACGAGTGCGTCATGGTAAGATTCCGCTTCTGACTTTTGGTCTTGAATCATGGTCCATGTTTGTCCCGTCATCTTGTAGTTATTTGGTTGTTCTCTGATGGTCAGTGCGCGAGTGTTGGCATTCGACTTTGATCCCAGCCGCACGATCGAACTAGCAGGGATGCCGGCCTTTTGGATATCTTCCAGGAATTGATCCAGAGCATGATTCGTGTAAGTGAGAATGAGCATCGTCTCATTGGTACGATCGTGCAATATCTTTGCGATGAGTGCTCCGATGAAACTTTTGCCTGTACCTGGTGGGCCTTGGATCAGACTGACTCTCTTTACTAGACCAGTCAGCAGTGACTCTGCTTGGGCCTGGTCGAGCTTGATTGGATGAGTGCTTCCGATGATGTCTTGAAGGTCCTCTTCCCAGTGGTCGCGAATGGCGTTGACAGTCTTTGTCGGTTGGATGCCGGACGGGGTTTCCGCGGAGTCTGGCGTAAGACTGAGGAGCTGGTCTTCCAGTGGCAGTTCAGTCAGGTCCTGAAGACATTTCAGGACAGGCTCATACGCAAATACAGCAGTATCTACCTGCACAAAGCAAAGGTCAGATTGGAGCTTGCATGCCATCAGCACTTTGCCAAACGAGCTGGCGTCGGCCACTCGCAGCACTACAACAGCAGGTTGCTTCGCAAGGAGATCTTCATCACGGTCCACAGTTGCAAACGCAACAATGTTACCGTTGCTGCTGAGACAGCCCAGTGACTGATGCTTCAGGACGTTCTTGTTGTCGGCGAGGAACTTCTTGCGGTTCGCGGGTTTGACGTTGCGCAGCTGAGGAACGTCGTCTGGACAAAGAAGCTGCAGCGAGCAAGGCTTGGGTTTCGCCTCTGGTCCGCAGTCGATACCGGCATATTGCAGGTGTTCGAGAACCACTTTACGTCGACCTTTCTTCTGACCACTGGCAATCTGGAAGTCGTTACGTAGCTCCCCAAGAAGATCCTCGCGGAGTAAGCGAAATTGGTTGTCAACATGGGTAAGACCACGGCTCTCCGGGGTGACAGAGACGATGGAATCAGCGCGTCTGTAGAATGGATGCTCGGAAGATGCGAATTCGTCTGGCGTCGGTAGGAGCTTGATCTTGTGGATTTGCGCGAAGTCGTTGTCGTGTCGCCCACCTGGGCCGTCGACAGTCTGGTCGGATGTGCTGTCGAGGACATGCTTGATCTTATGCCCAATGTTGCGGATATCTAGCGAGTCTGAATCGATGAAAGATGCATTCTTAGTGACGCGTTCTGCGACATCTCGCACATCTGGAATGTCCTCAGAACGACTGTATAGCAGCTCGAGTAGCAGCCACGCGAACGCGCGAGTGCCATCGCTGGAAAGCACGTGACCATCATGCGCGTTCACAAAGGTGTTCCAGAATGTAGGAGGCTGGACAATCTGTTCGAGGACGCGCTGTAGGAATTGGCCGCCGTAGAGTTGCTTGACAGGGGGCTCCAGGGCTGGGCCAGATGATTGATGACGGCGGTTGCCCACCCGTTGAGGAACGCGCTATCCCCGGTGGTGCGGAAGGCAACGCCGACGGCCGCTAGCCCTGCCGAAGACGCGATCAGACACTCAACACACTTCGACGAGTCTTCTTGAGCACACAACGCCTCCAAGAATCGATTACTGTCGCCCGCCGTCTTGATTTCGCGACGACCATGGATGATAGCGTTGAAGAGCTTTGTCAGCCCTGCGGCACGCTTCGCGGCGTCCTGGTCCGCCATGGATGAGGTTTGTATCGTGTAAGGTATCAACTGTTGAGAAAAGGTTTATCAAGACAAGCTGATATCTGCCGCTATTCCATCGCTCTTCAGAGGGCGTTTGGTTCTTTTGAGCTTTCTGAATGGGTAGCCGGGAGGCCGCACCAGACCCCAGCGCATGCGCGATGATTCTCTGATAACGGGCTGTGCGAATGATTGGAAGAGACTCACACTTTGTTATGCGGCGAGGCATCAATCTTTGTCTGCCTGCATGTTCTGGTGAGCTCTGGACGAATTGAGGCCTACAGGCATGCGCTGTGCGACCTGCATGTTGAGCAAACAGCGCCACACGAACTCAGCCTTGTCTAGGCAGCATGCCATACTTGAAGCCGGCGTGTCGCTTTCCATCCAGCGCATAACTCAGCCTCGCAATTCACAATTTCGAAACTAGTCAGTACATTTCCACAATATGGCTTCGTTTTCAGGCAGCGGCAGAGGTGGCTGGGCTCCACGCAGAGGGCGAGGCCGCGGAGGAAGAGCGCCTCACTTCGCAAAGAACAGAGAGCAGCCAAAACCGGATCTCCAGACACATCCGCTTGGAGACCCTGTGAAAGTGTTTCGCAGCTCCGATCTGAGTCTGAAACCAATCGACTCGGCGGAGATATCGAAAAGCCAACATGTCGCGTCGTACAACTGGCTCAATGACGAGGTACCTACCATCGTCGTTCCAGGTAAGGATTCTTTTTGTGCCTACATGGACGTTAGCCCGCCCACTTTGCACGTTTTCATCTTGCTGTAGTCTGCATACCAGATGGAGCTGACAGTTTTAGGTAAACCTCCTCGCTGGACACCACTCCAAGCTCCACAGCGTTTGAAAGAAGACGACGGACAGTACTTTCGCGACCCCAATGCTGCAAAGTATCCCGACTTCCCCATGGCACCCGTCGTACATGCTATTACAGAGACCGACCCCGAATTCGACGCTACGAACACCGATGTCTTCGCATGCGGAAGCACCCTTGGCAACCTCCTGCGCTTCGCTCGTGGTGTCGACAAAGCCTTTCGGTTTAACATCGAGGTCATTGGCGAGACTGTCTTCTTTGTACGGAAAGAGAACGACCCCAAAGAAGTTATCAAGGATATCAGAGGCTTTGGTCATACGTTTCCAGAAGCATACACCACATGGGAGCATAGTGTCAAGGGTTCTGAGACACACCAGCGCATCATACGATATGAGTTTGGCGGCTTGGAGTGTCTTGTACGCTTCGAAAGCGACGGCTACATTGATGACTCCCTAGCAGTCCGTGATGTCGCGCCCGCACAGACTGCTGGGGACCAAGATGAGCTTCTGCAAGCATTCCAGCAAGCAGCCATCGGCCGTTCGCCCAGCAACGCGATGGGTAAGCCGGAAGAGCTCAAGATCGAACACCGCGGATCTACAGTACCGCATCACTCCATCTTTGACCTGAAGACACGCTCAGGCAAATACAAGAAACCCATCGACATGACCGACATCTACCCGGCGCTCTGGATGAAACAGATATCCAACTTCATCGTTGCCTACCACGACGGTCATGGTCTCTTCGAAGACATACAGGTACAAGATGTCAAGAGCGATGTGCGAGCTTGGGTCCGAGACAATAGAGACGGTATCCGCCGCTTCGCAACACTACTCAATGAGATCGTTGACATTGCCAAGAGCAGCACGAACAAGTTACTCGAAGTGTATTGCCCAGGAGCGGATCGCCTAGAGGTCCGAAGCCAGTACGGTGATGGCGTACACGCGTTGCCTGCAGACTTGGTCGAAAGGTGGGAGAAGACGGAGACTAATGTCTCCTCTACTCAGGATGATGCTTCGGATGAGGACGAATACAATGATGGCGGTGTCGTTATTGATGCGAGGCATGGGTTTGGCAATGGCTACGATGACGACTCAGGTTCTGAGCCAGACTATACAGCGTGTTCTGCTGAGGACTGTGGGTACTGCGGAAAGTGCACGTACTAAGACTGGCTAGCATATGGTTGTGCATTTATTGTTTGCTCAGCAGCAACTCAAAGTACCGAAATCTTCTGCCCTATCAAGACTTGCTTCAGTATACCTTTGGTTTTCGCATACTCTTTCTTGGTAAGGCGATGAGGCTACATCGTCGAAACAGCGTGCCGTGGAGAACTCTAACTCTGATCGTAGTCGGCAAGACCTTCTGTGACTCGCCGTTTCGTCTCTAGGTCAACAAGGAGAACAAGAAGCAGATCGGCAAAGACACTGCCGTAATTTACCGGGACCAGCTCGTGCCCAGGCTGCAGCACATTCAAGACCTCAACTCAGCTCTTCACGGCTTCCTCCAGAAAAGCTGCACGACCCCTACCAACTTCAGCAACTCAGAGCTAGAGAAATCCCAAGAGAAAGTCAAGGTTCAAGACTATTTCTACCAAACAATTGCGATGCTCTCTACCCATGTGCAATCGATCAGGATGGAGTTGCAACATCTGAGCGCGCAGGTCGGCGCGGCCCTCGTTTTGACCGACTTCGATCCGGGATACTTCCCCCAGTGGGATATTGACAATCGAACCCCACACCCGCTCACAGCCGCCGTTACTAATGCCAGGCGAGACATCGCCCATGTGCCATGCGTAAACAATGTCTACGACGAGTTAGATGTTGACTTCAACGAGAAAGATGTGAAGATTCCTGTGAAAGATACCTAAGCCCTCAAGCCACAATCTTATTCGGATGCTTCATGACATCGTCCCGATGTTGAAGACAGACGGCAGAAAGATGTCACGCCGTTCACACAGCAAGATGCCAAAGAAAGAGGTGGAAAATACAGATGAGGGTACTATGACGGATGGAGAGATGTCTGACCACGAGTCGTTGCAGCCGAAGCTCAAGTACACAACGGGGTGTCATGCAAAGAAGTACGAGATCTTGAAGGGAAAGACCAAGTTTTATTGCGTGCTCCACATGACCAAGATCGGGGAGAAACGAACGCGCGGATCCACGACTATACATGCCCACCACATGGTCCCACACTTTGCCGTCATGTTTTTCGACTCAAAATACACCTCATCCCGATGCGCTTGGCGCTGCAAGACGACACATCTCTTCGGCTTTGGAGCTGGGTTTGTCGCCTATATCGCCGGAATTTTAAAAGCTCCACCCGCAGCCAAGTTCCTTCGCTTTGAAGTTGTCGAGCAGGTGCTGACAAAGTCGGAACAACCACATTAATAACAAAAAGACATCACGCTTCTTGACTTCTACATCACAATTTTTAACTTCCACACTACATCCAGTTTTACACTTCGTCGCTTCGATACATGCGCTTACAGCATACATCCATATACTATACTCTCACTTCTACGCGCCATGGGTAACCGAGACTCCGACAACACCGCTCCGAGCAGTGCGACTCCACACACAGATTCAACGTCTTCTGCAAACGCACCTCCTATAACCGGGGCAACGCCTGTCAGCACTTCGATTGAGCGACCTCGTGGGGCATACGATCATTTGGGCTATTTCAGAATGGAGCCAGTCTGAACACAGAGACTAAGTGATGCCTATACAATTTGAAGGCGTATTCCCCAACTCTCGTAGTCGTGATTTCACTCTGGGGTTTCCCGTTCGTCTGGGTACCTAGGTAGTGAAGTCGTGAGGGCCACTATCTGCGTCGGAAGACAAAGGGCACGGTCCACTGCGTTGTAAGACTCAAGGCTGCAGTGTGGCGTGATTTTGAATAGCCCCATGTGTTCTCTCCACCCTGGATATACTTAAGGACTTGCAGATTTTGACTGACACCTTACACGCACTCCACGACTCTCAACCACATCGCTTCAGATCAAGGAACGCCATCATCATGGCCACCAAGCAATCGACTGCCCTTAACGCCCTCACTAAGGCGCATCCTAGAGTCCCCTTACCACTATCGGGCGGCAACTCGAAGCCAGCAGATCCGCGCAAACATTCCCTCGTTACTCTACCCGCTGAGCTTCGGAACAAGATCTTTGAGGATCTCGTCGAGTTCTCCGAGCCCGTCAAGGTTACCTTCCGTCGACATTTTGAATACAGCTCAGAGCGCATAAGCTTCTCGCTCCAACCAGAACATCAGCGTCAGAGGAGCTTGCTTCTGACATGTCGGACTATTTACTCGGATGTGGCTTCGGCTTTCTATGCCAACAACAAGTTCCTCATAGCTCCGGACAGCTACCAATACTCACAGCGTAGTCAGGCGACTGCGGATGAGGTTGCTGTATTATTTTTCCAGCGAGTGGGCTCGCAGGTTCATTGGATCCGTAAAGTTATCCTCGATATTACGAGTAGGCCGTGGGCCTTGAACTTCGATAGATGTGCATTCCCGTACACATACGACGTGCTTGAGGTCGGCATACTTTTGAGATTCCTCTGGCACCACCGCCTCGCTATCGACGTCGCTTACTTGCAAGACAAGGGAGCTTCCCGGGATGTATGTAATCCTCCAGCGATGACCCGGGTCATGCGGTGTATTCTCGAAGGCCAAGTGATGCTAAAGGCATCTCGCAGTCAGATGCTCGAGATTGCAATCAAATATGACGGCTCCGGTGGTATGTTCCGTTTGGGTAGAGCACCACCTTCTGGCGCACCAAGCCGATTCGCACCCGATCGCGAGCTGCAAATCTACAATTTTGCCGCTGAGGATAGTGGACGGTGCCTTACCTTGACAAAGCCGACACCCCCTACCTTGCTGACCTTACCCGTTCATCCCGTACTCTCCAAGATCTTTTCCGAGGTTCTCAGTGAACGGGAGAATATCTGCATCGATCTTGATGTGGACACAAGCTTGCCAGTCAACTTCACTCACGCCAGCAGACGGCTTCATGAGACCTGTTGGGCAAGCTTGCTACAAGCCGCATCGTACACATTGCTGCTTCATTCAAGAGAAAAGCGCAGTACGTTCACTAACTTTAGCAAACTCGCTTGCATCTTACATCGTACATTTACCACTCCCGAGGATCCCGGACAAAAATACCACGGGATATCAAGGCCTTTGCGATGGTCAGCGCCCCATTGGAAGCTCGAAAACTCACAAGAGCTTAGCGTTGTGCTGGAGTTCGACTTAGCAGATCCGACCGCCTTGGAAGACCTGCGCATCAGCGTGCTGCCCTTACTCTTGGAGACATCTTCGTATTGGGGTGATCGCACTGTCACGATCCGTTCATTAACCTCTACACAGGGTGGCCGTTCCCTTTTCGCCGAGCAAACAATCACGTTTCAAGAACTTCGACTGAACGCTTTGAATGCGCTGGAGGACACATTCGGTGAGACTGTTGAGTACGCAGCTACTACGCTGTGGATAAACGGGTTGGGAAAGGTCGTCGAGACAGAGTTCAGTCGTTTCTCTAGCCCGTATCGCATCCAGTACGATCCGGCAGAAGCATCCGGGGGAGTCGGCGGTAGGAAATCGCGTAAAGTGTCCTCTATTTACCCAAAGGATCAGTACTTCCACCGACAAAAGACCCGACACGACTGCCAATCAAAAAATTGCTGGCTGCTGTTCCCATCTCAGTACTCCGCGGTAGCGGTACTGGATTATCTCGAAGAGATCTTGATCAGATATGATGTTGAGCATAGACCTGATTCGGGCAATGTGTAAGTATACAGTATGTTCCACTGATAGAATGAACCAACTGACAGTTGCTAGCGAAGTCGAAAAGATCATGTTGACACAGCTGATACCGGCGGAAATCTGCGGTCTCCGCCGACAAGACGAATCGCTGTGGAATCCTAGGATAAATCTACGTTTTCTTAAGTTGATGAATAGTTAGTGTTGCTGCTGAGCGTATCGCTCAGGTATGAGCTACTCCATTGGAGCGAAAGGATCACGGAGATAGAGATGACATAGGCGCAAGAATAGATTTTCGTCGATCATGTACCATTGCTGGACATCGGGCGAGATACGCATGTGCCGTATATTGTATGTCTGTCATTACATTAGCGATTTCATTCATACTGTAAGCAGGTCCAGCCTTTGCGTACAACCCATGGTCATCACTGGGTGAACATACGTCAACATTCGTAAACATCTCACGCTCGAAGTCAAGCTCGTCCCCTTAATTTCAGTCCTTTTTCACGTTCTCATCCTTCGAATCGCTCTTCTTCTCTTCTTCCTTGTCACCAGACCCGCTTCCGCTGCCCTTGTAGTGGCTACCTTCTTTTCCTGGCTCAAATACCGTATTGCCTCACAACAACTCAGCACGCATGTCTACAAAATCAGGGGCGTTGACATACAGGAAGCGCAATGCGCCCAAGCACCGTCTTTCGTCAAATCAGCCCCTGCACCGCACTCTGGACATTCGACCATAGCAAAGCTTCCTAATCGGGTTTCGGAGGATGGGTAACAGATTCGGTTTAGGATGTGGTTGATGATCAATGTTCGGTTGCGATCTTGCGATAGAGTTTCAATACAGGTTGCGTGCTTGCGCTAAAGTGAGGGGCATGATGTCATAGACCAATCAGATACCGCGGAAGCATCTCATCAAGCTTACGACCATTGGAGTTCTACACCGATGTACTCCTATTCTTGGAGAGGGAATGAGGGATATAGAAGAAGGCCCGAAGTTGGGCTTACATCTTTCCATCAGTAATCTTTCATGCGGTGGCTGACCTGGCGTGTTACAGACATTCGTATAGCCTGAACGCCAGCGGCCCTGCAGCATGCAAGAAGGATGGCGCATATGGGACTCTGGTTCTGCTACCGCATAGTTCGCATCCTACCAAAGTTCTGAATGCGATGTGCGAGCCATCAGTTCCCTGGGCTATCGATACGAGTCAGTCTGCATCCAGGTTGACGTCTTCCGCCGTCTTCCGCCCGTCGTGGCGGCCAATCCTCAACTCCAAGAGTTCCCAACAACCAGAATACATTCATCCTGCAGTGCTTGCGCAATGCGATCCTTCCGAACTTATTGACTCGCATTTGGACAGATCATCCTTATGGATGCTGTGCGACTCAGACCCCTATAATGCCGCCAATGACGGCGCTCAGCTGCGAATCCTCAGATCACAAAGAGGCCGCGCCGGACACGGTACGCACGTACTGCCGCTGGACCAGGGCCAGAGTCGATGGTATCGCAGCGATGAAACCGATTAGTTTACCGGAATACATCACCGCGAAGGGAACGAATAGCCCGATGGCTAGATTCTTGAGTATGAGATGTGCATCTTGTCGCAGCTGCAACACAGTAGGCGTAGCAAGCGGCAGCGCAGGTTTTTCGTCTTCCTCTTTCTCTCATCTGATTGCTGGAGTCATTGCGACAGTAGTAATCCGGGGTCGAAACTTGCAACATTCACCGTTGACGTGCATCTACCGCATAAACCTGCTCGCGGAGCTGAACAACTCAGGGGCGATGCACCCATCAAAAACGAAGCCATTGCTTCAGCAGCTCCAGGTATGTGAATCATGCCACGCGACTACCCGCTTGCGATAGCCTCACTATACCCAGCCGAGCGAGCGCCTAGACCCAGAGTAGTCTAGCAGTCGCGTGGTAAACGGCTCATCCGCAACCAACATTTGACGATGGATGCCTGAGGGGCCCTGGCCCATCTGCCGTGTCAAAGCAACGGTTCCCTCCCCACCGCATCTGCATTGCGCAAGTTCGTCTCCGCGCTGAAGGACGGAAGGTTTGCTTCGAACTTTATTGTTCCTGCAGGTGGTAGCCTTCACAGGACATATGGCCGGACGCCTCATCAGTCCACGCTGTCGCATGTCAGAATGGCGGGAAATACGATGCTTGCAGCGGTCCGTATATAGCGTCGATGAGCCGGATCCCGAGGTGCGAAACTTTAAACTTGTTCAACATCTCTTCAGGCCCTGAGTATCTAGGCTTTTCTTTCTTCTTGTTTGCCTGTTCGTCTTCTCGTCTTGTCTTACCCGTGGCTTCCGTTCACATTTTGTCCGTCGACGGGTGTGTAGCTTTGGTAGAATCGCAGCATACGAGGATTCCTTGAGTATCTCACGAAGCCCATGACAACTAGCCGCACGTAGCGTGCAAGACAATTGCAATACCCCAGACTCCTCCGTATCCTCACTTTCTGGTCAAACCCCACGACACCACACCACTCGATGGCCGACCCTATGGCCGCGGTGCCATACTCCAACAAAGCCGCCATCTATCTCGGACCCGTCGTTTCTTTCGGGGTCGTCGCGCTTTTCCTGGTTATCGCGCGCATCTACACACGGATACAGAGGACTGGAAAACTATTGCTTGATGACTGGATCATCGTTGTCGCAGAACCACTCTCTTTGATCGGCATATGTTTGGCTATCGCATCCACGGCATACGGATGGGGCAAACCAGCGGCATCCTTCACACCCGAGACGCTCAAGCAGACATTGAGACTACAGTTCGCCCTCCAAACTGTATGGCTTCTTACGCTCTGGCTTGTACGACTCTCTGTCGCGTGCTCACTGCTGCGCTTCGGGACTGAAAGGCTTTGGCGATGGCCGTTGTACTTCATCATGGGCCTACAAACAACAATCTCATGGAGTTACTTCGTCATCCAATTTGCGCAATGCACACCCGTCAGCTCGAACTGGGATACCGGTATCTCTTCCAAATGCTGGGATCTGGGCCCCATCGTCATCTACGGATGGGTCATTGCTGGTAAGACCTCCAGAGGTGCTACTCATACACGACCCAACTAACTCGCTTGATAGGCATTTACATCGCCATGGATCTCACACTCTCACTCATGCCAATCCGGCTGATCCGCACCCTGAACCGCTCCCAATCTGAGAAGATACTCATCGGCTTCCTCATGGCCCTTGGTCTCCTTGCAACCGCGATAAACTGCGCCAAGATGACAACATTCACCACGTTCGGCCAAGGCGACGTGATGCAAGCGACCATCGTACCTTCACTGTGGGCCAAACTCGAGGAAGAGATCGGCATTATCGCTAGTTCGCTTCCTTGGCTCAAGAGCCCCGCTGAGAACTGGTTGAAGAAGATGGGCATACTGAAGGAGCATCAGCTCACCAAGCCGAGTTTCGTGGCTGATATGAGCTTGCCGACTGTGAAAGATGATGAAGAGGATATAAATAGTAATGATGCGGATAGTACGAAAGTGAAGGGAAATGTTAGGGTGGATTCGGTGGCCACCGCACTGGGTACTAAAGGTTCCAACAACAGCCTGCCCAAAGACCCGAACAGTAATACCTGGCAGGCTGTTTAATCGCGACGACCATGTTACGACTTTCCTCTGGGATGCATGCCAAATATTTCGGCTTTAGCGCGGCGCTCTGGCGTTTTTGAGAGTCCGGCCTGTGACTCTACGGATTTGAGGGACACACAAAGGCACCGATTGCCTCTTTGCATGATCAACAAAAAATACATACACCTTAATACCAACAATGCTGGCCGTACGAGCTGAGAACTGACTTTCGTAACAGTTTGAGGAGTAAGAGTTTGGTGATGCCGCACTTCGGCGACATTCGCCCGAAGCTCTGCGAAATCTCGGATTATTACTAACAGAAAACCGCTTACTCCGCATTTTCGCAAACCATCGCCAGGACTTTGCGGAAGCCTTCCTTTTGCGCGTTTGTTTGCGCAAATTTTGTCCTCCCTGTTGTTGCAGGGCCTGTTTGTAGGTGTAGCAGCAGGGCCAGAGGTTCTGTTGTCTTTGTGTCGACGCATGCCAGCCATACCTACAAACAGTGGCATCAGCAAAGATCGTGAATTCAAACAGTGTGATGCCGCGGTCATTAACAGCACTAAAACGGCACGCGCCATTAGTCCGGGGTGCATGATCCAGGCTCGATCCGCGATGGTGACGTCCCACCGGTCGTTATTCCCTTCTCTAGGTTCTGTTTACCGCGTCTATGCTTTCATCAAGCTTTCTCTCTTTCCGCATTTCCACTTCTTGACATCGCGACCACTACTACATCCCAATATTGACACTGGATAATCCTCGACACCACTGGCTTAAGTCACACGTTCTCCTCGAGTATCTGTTGTAGTCGCCGCCGCGCGCGTAAACTAGGCATCTTCCGCCTTCACGATGCCGATATGGGATCCTCTTGTGCCCGTTGAGCGCGTAATCCAGCGTGGTCTTGCACGCCTTCCACAACCTATCAGCCACTGGCTTGGATACCGAACAAAAGCGGCACCAGCTGCTCGCACATGGGTCGTCTGTGTCTGGGGCTTCATCGGCGCCTTCTGTGGGCTTAGCGTCATTCTCGCCATATTTGGGCATACAGACTACATGAGAAGTCGCGCCGTACCACCAATCATCGCTTCATTTGTGAGTTCTCCGACTCTTTGTATATCTGATATTAAAGAGAACTAACATCTCCATAGGGTGCCTCCGCAATCCTCTGCTACGGCGCCATCGACGTGCCCTTCTCGCAACCACGCTCCCTAATCTTCGGCCACTTCTTCAGCGGCCTAGTCGGAGTCATCGTAGCAACAATATTCCAGTTCGACCTCGAGAAAGATCCTTACCCACGACTGCAATGGCTCGCAGCTGCTTTGGCCACAGCTATCGCTCTCGTTGTCATGCATCTGACCAAGACGACTCACCCACCTGCTGGAGCCACAGCACTCATGCCGTGTGTTGACCAGCATATCTGGGCGCTGCGATGGTACTTCTTGCCGGTCTTGCTGCTATCGTCGACCGTTGTGCTGGTTACAGCCATGATGGGAAATAATGTTCAGCGGCGATACCCGGTGTTCTGGGTTGCGCAGATTCCGCCACCACCACCGCCACCGAAGGCCGAGGAGAAAAAGGATGCGATCAAAGGGGGTTCTTCTGATGGAAGCGTGGATGGATCACACAAGGACGTGGAGAGAGGACCTCTGTAAGTTCTCTTCGTAGAAGCATTAAAACGAGCATCTCCATCGTCATTTTGGTGTTATGATATAGCCAGCGATATGTTTTGGTCAGCATATTAGTTAATAACAGTTTATGTCGTCGATAGCTCTAACATTCTTGGGATGAACCGAAAGAAATCAGTCACTCGGAGTGCTTACTAAGCGACGAGCTTCTGATGCCGAATCTTCCGCAACAGTGCCCATCCTTCACACTTTGACACATGTGTTGATTTGGTATCATGGATTGTATTAACACTACTACGAATCTACTTAGATATCTTCATCTATCGCGACTCAATCAAACGCACCATCAAACTTAAACCTTCTCCACCCACACAGTCCTAGCCACACTCGGCACACCCTCCGCACTGACAGCAAACAGATACCACGCTCCCGGCAATACGACACCAGAGTCATTCATGATGGGCAAGACGACCTCTTCACCCTCAACCCTTGGCTGGAGCGGAATTCGCCTCTGATCACTGTTGACGTTGTGTGTAACACTTCCAATCCTGATGAAAGAGAACTTCACACCGTCGGCCGAACCTTGCATCTTGACCCTCAGCTCACCGCCTGGGGCGACGATGCTGTTGGCAACGTTCTCGATGATCGGGCGAGGAGCGCCGGTTTGGAGGTATGCTGGTGTAAAGATCTGGCCGTTGGGGTGGTCGACTGTGTCTTTGCAGTGATAGGACGGTCCACCGGTTCCGTCATCCCAGCAGAGACCTCCTCCTCCACTGAAGACGGTGGCATCGGGTAGTAAGATAGAAACGGAGTGGTAGTTACGAGGAATGGCTTCAGCGGGCAGCTCGGTAAAAGTCTTGGTTGCGGGGTCAAACATCTCGGGGATGAAGACGGGGTCGATGTCTGTGAAGCCTGCAGCCCAACGCTGTCCACCAGTGATCAAGAGCTTGCCGTCGGGAAGGACGACGATGTTTGCGAAAGCGCGAGGGTGGTGCATATCGGCGATTCGTTCGGCTGTCACCGGTGCGCCGACGTAGTTGATTTCCATCAGATGCGCGACTGCGAGACCGGGCGCTTGATCATAGTACTGGGCTCCACCTGCAGTGAAAATCTTTCCAACATCGTACATGACGTGGACACCGCACATGGCGTCGTTGACATCGTCGCGGATGCCTGCTGGGCTGACGCCTCCTTCGCCATCGGTGTAGTACCAGTTCATCGCTTTGCTGGGCCCGGCCTGGAAGATAGTGCCGTTGCGCCAGGGAAAGAGCCAGGCGTGGTTGTCCTCGCGGAAGATACCCTCGTGGTCGGTCGTCAACATCGGCTCGACGGCAGCACCAGGAAGAAGTGTCCATGTGTTCTGTACGGGGTCGTAGATCTCTCCTGGCTTTCCACCTCTTGGGCCACTCCAAGATCCACCAATAGTGAAGACATTTCCGTTGGAGAGGATAGCGCTACTTTGGTAGCCACGGGGTACTTTCATATCCGGTCCGGGAGCGAATGTGTTTGTCTCCGGTTGGTATATGGTTGTCTTCTCCGCATTGCTTCCTCCTGTGATCACCAACCTTCCGTCGGCCAAGGAGCTCATACCAGGGCAGAACATGTCGTGGTTGGTTTCAGCAACCTGACGAGTAGTCATCTGTCCGGAGACCAAATTGTACTCTGCGAACTGAGTGAGACCACGTTCACCCCCGAAGGCGTTCGGTGAGAATGCCGAATACACCATCATGCGAGTCGGAGTCGGCCATTCCGGAACGATATAGGCTGCAACGGGAATGATCGGAAAGTCGATTACTGGACCCCATGATCCTTGGCCCTGAGCGAGGGTGTTTGAGTAGAGAAATGGCAGAAAGGCAGCCGCTGCCTTTGCGTGTGAAAACATTAGATATTAGGATATTAGAGCACACAATAGGTGCAAGAAGATGAATGCGAAAGCGACTGTCGGTGGGTGGTGCTCGTATCTGAAGGTGTCCACGATATGTTTGTTTTATATCAACAAACGTTGCTTTTCCCGCACACCCTTCTTCGGATCACGATGCCTGACTTGTTGTGCGCCAATGCAGTCGAGCACGTCCTAATTGGTAGTCGATCCCAATGACTATGAGCCGAGACCTGTTCGAGAACCAAGAGTTACAACACCAGCTCGGCACATGCTCTTAGGGTAGTGCTATACCCATTGTATTACACCGAGTGGTACTACATCCGGACAAGGACGCGCGATGATACGGCAGCACCTGCAGGTGTGGTAGTGCTATTTCTCGAAGGGTACATTGTTGATGTATCATCGCCTCATCATGTACCGCGTGAGATACTTAGATCGATCCTGCCTGTAAGCTTTACGAGAAGAGGCTCGCGTAAGATAGGGCTGAGAAGCTGGACAGCCGCCATCCGTCTTGGTCGCACCGTAACGCGACTTGGCCTAAGCGTGGCACAGAAATAGTTTATCGATTGTTGGCGGCTGTTGCGGGGCAATACTATTATCGCACGTTGAAGACTCTCACCGATGCGGGGTGTGTCTGGGCCGGATCTGACGATGCGTTGGCTGAAGTTTGTGCGCGAGAAAGAACGTTGGGACGTAGGGGTGAGAGCTCGGCACGTGCTCGGTACCGATGACGTTGAGCACTGATAAGCCTGCGGTCGTTGCGATAAGAGACCCCATGGCAACGACAGTTTGGACTCAGCACGTGGAATCTCGGGGCCATCTTCTATCACCATCGAGATGGCATTGACATGGTTCGAATACCATAAAGTAATAAATCCCTTGGAAGACCCTTCGACGTCATACAGGCTGCGCATACGGATCGCTTTCACTCCGGCTTCAACAACTCCGCCATCTTCATCCTCAACGCCTTTTCAGCTGCCGGCCAACCCTGCCCCAGCCTCCGACAAAACGAATTCACATCAACGCGTCTGTACTCAGGCATTTCCCTCAGCAGCAGCTTCACAACATCCCTACACCGAAAGTCTTTGTCCAAGGCCGCTAACACCAGCTGATACATCGCGGATTTGCGTGTGAGGTTTACATCCGAAGGCTGACAGAACTCCTTCATAGCCTGGGCGTATATCTCGCGGTAGCGCTCGATGGCCCAAGTCATATGTGGCAGCCGACCTAAGCCGTAGTCTGGGAGCCAGTCGCGACGAAGAAAGGTAGGCATTGATGTGTAGCCAATGCAGCGTGGCACCGCTGCGCAAGCATCCCAGTCGATGATGCCAGTCACATTACCATCATCATCTACCAGGATATTCTGGAGGTCGAGATCATCGTGTCGGATGACAAATGTTTCGCGCACCGGTACGCTATGGCTACCGCACCCGGCCTGAGAGATTCCATCGTGTAGTGGCGTTGACGGTTTGAACGGAGCAGAAGACAGAATGATCCGCATCACTATTTGAACGCCAAGTTCTGTCATCCCATCGCTATCGAGAGAGTCCTCAGGCTCGCATAGCCTGTCGAGGCCAGCAGCGAAAAAGGCTTCGCTGGACGCAAATGATCCATAAGACGTCGGCTCTTCCATGTTCATCTTGCAGTGCCACCGCCAGGCCGGTGCGATGAACTTTGGGTTCTTATCTTCCGGACATCCGTAGCTAGGCACGCCAGTATACGGAAACTCGAGTGTCGCAAGTTGGCTCATAGCTTGTGCAAGAGAGCGCAGGAAGGTAACGCGCCTTTGCTCGACCTCCGGAGAAGGGTCGTCGGCCTCAAGGTGTAGATCGTCAGATTTGAACATTCTGTAGGGTTGACCGAGCCACAGATCCGTCGCCGCTATACCTTTGATCTTCTTCATGAGTATGTACGGCGCCCCTATAGCATTCTGTAGGCCGCCGTCGTATGCGACAATCTCTGGTACTGGACAGTCTGTATGGTGGCGAATATGCTTCAGCAACTGAGCTTCACATTCCAACATCATACGGTCGTTCATACCCCACTCTTTCGGTGTGCCGTGTGCAGGTATCTTGAGAACATACTCTTGCGGAGTTTCATCATCGCGCTCAACCGTCAAAAAAATTGCATGGTGGAACGAGCCCTCCGTCCGATGTGTGACGCGACAGCTGCCAGGGGACAACTTCCTTTCAGGATCGACGAGATCGAGTACCATTTCCCCCAGGGCTGCGCGCGATATGCCTCGAATGGCTTTGAAGTTTCGGCGGTCGTATTCGCGTCCCGAGGGCTCGCCGTCGTCGCTATAAACGGTCGCGAGGGTTACTCCTTCGGAAGCTTGAGCCACTATACTACTCTTCGGTGAAGGTCGTCGGCGGTCACCAGCAAGTGGGACTCTACTGTAGTCGACGTAGTGACTCGGCGGCCGTATTCGATCCACGGTGGTGGCTGAAGTTGTTCGTTGTAGGAAGATTCTCGAGCGAGTCAATGGTACCGCTTCTTCTGATGCACCGTGGACAGTTCCCTTCCCCCATACCCAGGATGACCGAGGCCGTGGAGTCTTTACGCTCGTTCCCAAACGTGAGCTCAGCATTCGTTTGAGCCCTCCTGGTTTCGGTCGCGCGCTACCATCGTCTAACGAAAGTCTGGAATTTGTTCGTAACAGAGACCACCGCTTGTTTCGCACTCTGTCCCATACCGAAGGCCGTGTCGTCGGTATCGCAGTCTCTCTAGGCATGGTTGGGATTCTTGCGCTGATGGGGTTGCGTTGGCTTGGATGCGGGGAGAGAAATACTGTGGTTGAACGCGTCGTGAAGCAGAGTCGGGGGTCCGAACTTGGGTGAATGCTTTGGCCCACACGCCCAACCCAAGGCTATACCTTCTGTCACATGACCATTTTGGTCCGTGCAGGTTTGGGTGTGGCCTTCACGACTTCACTACCCAGACGAATGGGAACCCCCAGAATGACATCACGACGACATGCGCGCATCAAAGGACCGTTATGCTGCCGTAGAGAACAAATTCTCATTAAATCGTGTAATTACGTCAGCCCAGCTACATACTCGACTACGCACCGCGATCCACTATCCCACCAACACCCTCCCTTTTCCATGCGCCACACCCCATTCTCTCTTGTTCTTCGCTTTTCTACGAGCTCTGCCGGACAATCAAAGTCGGCCTTCGACGGACCAGAGCGAGCCGTCGCCCGCCGTCCTCAGCGGTGAACCTATGGTATTGATCGTGTGCAGGTATCATTACCCGAGGCCAGCGGTCAAAGTCATCAGCCTCTCTCCAGCCGAATGCGCCTCCGGTGCCATCGTAGTCAATTGCGACTGACGCGATATGGCGCCGAGACGCCTTGAGCATGAGTCGGCCTTCGAGAATGGACTTTGTGATAGCCGTTATCGTTGTAGGATTGAAAGTACTTCGTTGGTCGTTCGCGGACACGGTGTTGGTGAAAGTGATGTCTATTTTAAGGTTATATTCCCAAAGGAAGTGAAGTAAGTGTCCTATGTTGAAAGCCTCGGGTCTTTGTTGGTTGTATAATCTGAAGCTTATACGCCTGTCTAAGACGCCTTGGGAGAGATCGATGGAGAACTTATGGTGCCAGTACACTTGAGACCCCAGTTTCCGGAGCCATCCAGTGTAGACACCTAGAAGATATTCGATGGTACCACGGTTTTTGAGATTGGCCGGAACGATAACGAAGGTGTTGTTGGCGTAGAACAGTGAAGCTGCTTCGAGGTAGGTAGTCCGACACGCGAAAAACAGGCCCTTGTGCATTTCAAATCCTGCACCAAGATAAAATCTATAGACGTCCCTGGCTGGGGAGAGATCGAGGTCAATTATGATCGGCTCTGGGTATTCGACGAGATATCCATAAATCTTGTTTCTAATCTCAGCGGGCAGCTTGACGAGAGAGTGTCTGCTTGTGTCTATCGGCTTTGAGTCGCCTACTATGGCTATAGGCGAGGGGATAGTATATGGAGGCATTTTAAATTCTCGTCGGGATCGAGAAATTAGCTTGGTGGGTGGAGTGGACGAGGTGGTTGGTTGAAAGCTCTGCTGTGAGCGGGAGTGCTGCTGAGACTCAATCTCGCCACAGTGTATAGGGGGTAGAGACTAGAAGTTCCCACACGGTTGCTCGCAATGCTGTAGCCTTGATCTGGAGACTAAATTGAAACGCTAGATTTGCTGCTTCCGCAAAGCTAGAGAGGGGCAAATGTGGCGAGCTCCAATTCTTTGCCTCCGCTTTTTGCAGTGAACTTAGTCATCGGGCCGCAATGGCAACGAGGCAGTGTAGCCTTCTGACCTTCACTGGGAGCGTCAGACCAACAGATCAAGCCGCCAGAACCATCCTTCTTGACCGCCACGGCACGCACCGCATTGCTCTTTTTCTTAAGCCCTAACTGCCCCGCGAGCAGTGCATTAACAACACTGACAATCTTCTTAGAGCATTCTTTCTCAAAATTCCCCATCCAATACTCCGCCCTCTCTCCCTCCACACCCACATCATCCACATCGATAAGCCTAATTTCAAAGTCAATACCGCGACTCCAAGCCACCCGGAGTAACACCGTAATTTCCACAACATCCATTCTAGTATCAAAGACCCTCGCCTTTCTGTCCAGATAAGTATAGAGAAATACACTCTCTGGGAAGGTAAAAGTATCAAACACAACACTTCTCACGAGCCCGGCTCTCGAACCCAGAGTATCAAAGAATTTGACGAGCGCGCTGACGAAACACGGGCGCGTGAAAGTAGCAAATTTGCTTGTTCGGTTGAGCAAGAAAGTGTTGGTGGAGTAGAACACTGATGATGCTTCTGCGTTGATTTGTCGGGAGGTTAAGAAGAAGGCGGTGGGTATAGTGGTGTTTGATGCATATGGCACGACGGGTTTGGGCGTGTTGCTTCTGGGATCTTGGTAGAAGTACAGGCGGATTGGAGAGTGGCGGTGGCAGATGTGGTGGTAGATTTTGTTGCGGACTTCGGCGGGGAGGGTGAGGAAGGATGGGGTACCGGGTAAAACAGGTTTTGATAGCTCACTGTTGCGAGATGTTGTATCAGCGCGCATGGTATCTATCTGTACTTAAGAAGATATCTAGAGCATCGATGGAGGAAGCTTGAAAGCAGAGGGAAGTACACGCCTGTGTCTAACTCCCATTTTCCTGGCGTCGCATACACTCATAGCTATGACATGCACTGAACGCAGCGATATTTCGTTGCATGATGAATTTCATATCCATGAATCACAGCCGCACTGTCACCGACTTCGAGTCATAGCTAGCGGGGTCGAAGAGTCATGTTAACTCGATGACGCATTATCCCAGAATTACCTGGAAGTATACATTGCCTTTAGATGTAGGTAAATTTTTGTTCTAATACCAGCTTAGACCACAGGCACATACTGTACCTCATCCCTGTAGGAGGTCATCAAACGTTTTCGCAAAGCCCATTCTGCCTCCGCATTCCCCATTCAACGCGACACAAGATACTGCCAGTCAAGAACGCTCGAGTCGTCATCATCATCTTTCCTAAGCGGACAGTCATCCTCGCAGGCGCACGAAAGCGGCGGAGCCTTCAATCTGCACGCCATTAGTAAGACCATCCAGACTATCAAAGATGCATATCGTATCGCAACTTACGTCTTGAAGTAATTAGGATAGTCCTCAATACTCTTCATAAGATACACCAATATCTCTTTCTTATCAGCCCTGAAAGGGAAGAACTGCGTATCGTCATAGTATTCACACTCCAGATGCGTCTCGCACTCCCGATAGTTGCGATCAATAGGGTGGAGAGATCGAACGGAAACGGGGTGGTATATTCCCGGCGCAATCTCGGACGCAGGCTCCCATGCTCCACCCGTGTCGTCAACCGAATCGTGGACAGTCTCAACGATGTCTCCGAAGCCGTTGGTCCAGAAATTGGGTAGGTATGACTTATTCGATATCGCTGTGAATGCGCAGTCCAAAATAGCTTTGATGACGTTTAGTCGTAGTCTGGTGAGGGTCATGGTGTGGGTAGCTGTCATGGCCGAGGAGCCGTCGGGTGTAGGGGTCCATATTTGGATCGTTACTTCATGATGGGGTGGGGTAGTCGAGGTTTCCATTGCGAAGGGCAGGATGTTGATGCGGATATCGCTCAGTGTGGCTGGGCTATTCAGATCGAACCTTAGGATGTAGTGTAAGCCGGTTGGACGATAACAAAATTCGTTCGATGTCGCAATAGTCCTCATCGACTCATCAGCTCTCTTCTTACGGCTGTAATCTGATTTGAACGTTTTGCGGAGGAACCGTCTCAGCTTATCGAAGTTCTGGAATGTAGTGCGGAGGTCGCTTGTTGCCACCGTCAGGGTGAAGCGGTTGTGGAACAGGAAACGTGACCTCCAAGTCTCGAAGATTTCCTGATTGGTATGCAGCAACCCGCAGTTGAACTTGGTCTCCTCATCGAGGTTGATAGCTATGCTATCAACAGGGTTGATTATCGTGTCGAAGATGAGTCGGCGTATGCGTTTGGGGATACCGAGCAAAAAAGCTTGATTGCTCTTTACAAGCTCGAGTCGGGACCCATCGCCCTCCGCCACGAAGGTCGACATGTGCTCTGGGCCAGGAAGTATCCTAACCAGTTGCGGATGTGCGCCCCGATAATCGTAATTTGTAGTACCCCAGTTGATCATTCCTCCGGTGCCATCTCGCTTTAGACCAACGGCAGCAACTAGTCTTCCATACTGCCGTAGCTTCAGTTGGCCCTGTAAAATGGATCGCATAATGGTAGTGATTGATGAAGCGTGGCACCGGAAAACGTCCTCACCCTGATACTTAGCAGGACCAAATGGCTGGGTGAACGAGACATCCACGTCAGCGTGAAGACGCCAGATAGCCCGCAGAAGAGGCGTAATCTCAAACAGCTCCAGTTTCTCATCGAACACCCGTTCTTGCTCCTCGAAGTCATTGTCAAGTCGAGCTTCTCCTCTGAAGCAGTCCCTGGGTTTTAGATGATCTAGGTCTAAGACAATTTTACGCAGCCAATGCGCTTGTGATCCAAGACGGCTGAAGAATTCTCGTGGTACTTCGACAAACGAGCTAGGCAGGTCAAATGGATAGGGGAGATGGCGCGAAAGTCGAAATGTGTTGTTTGAGTAGAGCATGGTACCTGCTTCGCGATACAGCGTTCGGCACGACGTGAAAAGATCCATGGGAGGGTGAACCTGAGAAACAAAACGAAGTCGCATGTCCCTGTCGTTGGACGGGCGATGTTGAGTAACGAAACCCACGCTCACTAGTGTGCGAGACTCGACCAGATAGCTGAAGATATGATTGCGGATTTCGCCGGGTAGATCTAAAATTGAAGGCTTGTCTGGATCGGCGCGCTCCGAATCTCCGAGACTGAGGGGTGAGATGGGGTGGAAATTGTCCATCGCGAGTATAGATGCTGGGGGGTACCAAACGTCATGGTGGTCCTTGAACTCTCTGTTAACCTTGCCCGAAGGTGAGCCTGGATTTGAGCCCTGAGTTGAGCCCTGAGTTGACATCTTCGGTGGTTGGGCGAAAGGTGGTTGAGGCGGCGACAGCAGTCCAACGCGGTAAGGAGCTTCATCTCATGTACTACCACGGAGAACACTAGGCACCAGTACGGGGCGCGAAAAAGACCTGACTGTGCTCAGTGAAACTGAACATAGCAACTTACAGATATGGGACCGAGCGGTGTATACCCTCGGTTGATGAGTGTAAATGCGCAAAGACAATGGGTCGCGATCTGGAAGATGGCGCGGTTAGGTGCCCAGCACTCGCTCCATAGTCCATCGCAAATGCCACACAACGTACCTATTCTTCATCCCGAGCAAGATGTAACGAATCCACTACTTCAAACGAAGACGCCTTGGATCAAAATCTCTTAACCCTACTCTTATTAGTATGCGACAGCGAACCATGACGACGAGACTTGTAGTGTCGTTAAGCGCGGTGGATGAAGAGATCGTGCTGTGAATGACAAATGCGGAGTCACCGTCGTGGAGTCATAGCACCATGGTCGAAGAGTGGCACCGACGCAATGACGCATGTTACAAGGATGGCGCACCCCATGATGCGATGGCCGCGAGAATCTGCAAATATCGACATCATTGGTAGTATTTCCCTCGCTATGTATTTGTCGAACTCGTGTTTCCGAGTGCGCATACCGCGGTATACCTGGTCGCGGCCCAAACAACTAAGTATCACCTTGAGGTCGGAAGGCTAGGGAACAATCCTCTCTCGCACGCTACAAAAGTGACATCTACATACTCTCAAACATTCCTTTACTCAGCCATAAGCTTCGAAGCTTACTCTACAGCGTCCATATCGTCACTTCCGTAGTCCGTATTGAGCTCCGTGTTGATCTCCTTGTAATGAAATGGTTGCGTCATCATCGACCTGGAAACTCATCAGTAATCAAACAAGAAAACGATCGTGTGCAAATAAACACTCACCGACTGAACATGTCCCTGTACGGCCCTCCCGTCGTCTCAATACTCTTGATGAGATACGGTAGGATCTCCTTAACCTCTCTCCGGAACGGAAAGAATTGAGATTCCACAAAATGAACAACAGGCCTCGATGGTGTCTCATTACCTCGGTAATGAACGTCGATAGGATGTAACCTCGATACCTTGAACCCCTGTCCATCGAAATCTGTGAACTCCGAAGCTGGCTCCCAAGCCCCGCCCGAGACAGGCATCTTCTCATCGGCGTCCTCGACTTGCACGACTTCTCCGAATCCGTTGATCCAGAAGTCTGGTACGAGTTTGTTTCCTGTCAGGTAAAAGTTTTTCATCATGACGGCAGCAATGTTTACGCGCAGCTCATGGAGTGTCAAGGTATGTGAACTGGCTAGGCTGGATATTCCCTCGCTGTTCCTAGCCCAGACTTCGATCGTGACTGTATCGTCTCCACGAGTAGTAGATGTCTCCATGATCAGGGGAAGGATGTTGATGCGGACTTCGCTGAGTGAGATGAGATCATTTGCTTCGAACTTGAGAGTATACCGCATCTTGTTCTTGAGATATCCGCCGGCAACAAGAGTCCGCGTCTCGACATAGGTGGTACGAGTATCATACGTCTTCCTGAGAGATCTTCGCAAATGCTTGAACTGATCGAAGTCGGTACGCGCGCAGTCTGTCGTCAAGACTAACTCGAAGCGATTGTCCCGGAAGAGTACTTCATCGCGCCACCGTTTATGAAGTTTCCGATTGACGTGAATGAGACCACAGTTGATCTTGTTATCTTTGCCCAGGTTGACTCGATAGCCTTCACTAGGGTGCACGACCATATTGAGGATACGATCGAGAAGGGGGCGGGGGAAGTCTAGCAGATTCAGCGGCTTCTCTCGCTTGCCCATTTCCAATCGATGGCCACCATCCTTGGCGATAAAACTAGAAACGAAATACATGTCGGCGCAGATTTGTCCACGTGTGGGAGACGCGTCTGACGATATGGGGTTAGTGGTGCCCCAACCGACTATACCTCCAGCGCCATTCCGGTCCAGGGCTACCACACATAACAGCCGACCGTATGTTCGTAATCGTAGCTGACCTTCTAGAATAGAGCGAACCATAGCGCTCATGGCTGGGGCGTTGCATGCCAAACCCGAGGGGCCTAGGATTGGCAAACGCTTGCTGTGGGTAAAGGAGAAGTCGATATCCCGTCCTATACTCCAAATAGCGCGTAGGACAGGCGTGATTTTGAATAATGCGAGCCCATCGTCATGAGCAATATTCTCGGGAAGCGACCTGAGCGAACTACCTTTGTAAAAGCTTGCGTTCGGAAGATCCATGAGGTCAAGCACAATCTTCTTAAGCCAGCACGCTTGCGTACCAAGATGTGCGAAGAAAGCGCCAGGCAATTCGATGGGAACGCGATGTGGGGCTGCGGTACTCGGAGAGTAGTAGCTGTTGGATCCCATGGGAAAGTTGTAACCACGGCTGAATGGTATAGGGTAGAGAATGCCGCCGCCGTCGAGTCCTATGGCGAAGGTATTACCAGAGTAGAAGGCAGAAACTGCTTCGCGATACAGCGTTCGACACGATGCGAACAGGGCTACGGGAATCCGTACGCCGCAGCCGAGACGCATTTGCAGCCGACCATTTTCATCCAAACGATTTCTCTCGTGGTATATATCCAGTGGGGCGTGAAAGTTGAGCAGGTAGCTGTAGATCTGATTGCGGAGTTCGGCTGGCAGATCGAGGATCGAAAGCTTGTCCAAGTTTGCGCGCTTCGAGTCGCCCCGGGCGAGAGGAGGAAGGAGCTTCTGGTCGTCCATCGCGCTGTCGGTGGGTGAGTCTATTGAGATCTCCAGGAAACTGGAAAGAATGTGGTCGAAATGCCGATAATTCTTGTACCTAGAGAAGGGGGTCAAGTCTATATTAGCTAAACGCAGGCCAGGCACCAGGAACCTGGAGGCAGTGATGCCTTTCCTCTACCGAACCGAGAAACTATGTTTCATTACTAGAACATGTGCACGGATTCGAATACCAAAGGAGGTACCGTAGCAACTTCAGCGTGGTGTGATCGCCGGTGACGTAGATTTCTCATCGTGAGCTCGCAACCTTGGGGACGCCGCATTGTCCTGAGCTTGGATGCCGTCACGAACGGCGTCTCTTGGAACGAGCGAGTGCAGCGCACATGCATGCGCACGATGATCGACAGAAATGCGATACATCAATTACTCCAGGAAGCGACATCTGGTGATTGTGACGTGTGAGGTTTGTCGACAATAGTAGTGACGCCCACAGACCCTGATTTGCTTCCGAACGCGACGCGACAACGCTAGTTACTAAGCATACATCACGATCCCCAAACGCTCTACACAACATGCTTGTATTGAAGTCCCCTGCTCTCCTTCTGAAAGCGCATTGTGCGCATCCACCTGTAATTTATCCGCCGACCTTCGTCATACCTTGACCCATAGTCTCAAATTCACCGACGTAGCCACCAGCCCTCCTCCCCAAATCCCTTAAATCCCATACTCAAAAAACTCTCTATCCCTCTCCTCTCGCGGACAAAATCCCCACTCGGCGCACTCACACATCACAACCGTATCTCTGAGCCTATCCTCCATTAGCACATTCCTACCCACAATTCACAACCAAACAACCAGCACTTACTGTCCAAAAGTCCCGTCCTCGTCATCCGGCAACCCCGCCTCATCCAGACAACGGACAAGATACGGCAACACCTCCTTCGTCCTCTTACAAAACGGAAAAAGTTGCCAATGTATACTATCCGGATACACACATTGTGGATGGAATCCCCAGCCGTTGTTGCGGTAGACGTAGTCGATGGGATGGAGCTCTGAGATGGAATAGTTGTCTTCGTCCCAGTCGGCGTTGTATATGAGTGAGGAGGCTGGGTGCCAGGATCCGGTGGGGTCGCATGGTACACGGGTGTTAGTGGTAGTGGTAGTGGTAGTAGTAGTAGGAGGAGGAGGAGGAGGAGGAGTCGGGACGACGTCTCCGAAGCCGTTGATCCAGAAATCTGGGAGTTCGTCTCGGTTGTACAACGGAATGGAATACACGTGGCGCATGATCGCTAATACGATTTTGAGTCGCAGCTGATGGAGTGTCATGGTATGAGACGCAGTCATAGTTGCCGGTCCGTCAGTGCCAGGCGTCGTCCAAATTTGGAATGTGACTGTGTTTGATGCTTGCGTAGTTGATGTCTCCATGACGAGTGGTAACGCATTGATACGCACATCGGCCAGTGAGATTGCGCTGTCGAGTTCAAATCTCAAAACGTACGATGGACCGGGCTGTCGATGCACCTTATCCTGATTGACGATCCTCGCGGTGATGGTGTCTGGGTCTCCATTTGAGTAGTGCGATTTGGGCATGTAGGTCTTGCGGAGGAAAGTCCGGAGATTGTTGAAGTCGTCGAATGTCGTTTGTATATGCTTTGTGCTCATGGTCAACACGAACTTGTTGTCGAAGAGAAACTTGTCGCGCCAAGTGCGGTAGAAGTGTCTGTTAATGTGGACGAGCCCGCACTTAAATTTCGTGTAGTGGTCGAGATCGATGGGTGTACCCTCGATGGGATGTACGACCATGCTGAAGATGCGGCCCTGGATAGAATCAGGGAGGGTGAGCAAAGTCAATGGTGTGCTTTGTCGCGTGACAAGCCTTAGCCGGGAACCGTTGTCTTCAGCGATGAAGTCGTTCAGATAGTCAGGGTTCGCCTGGAAGTGGCCTGGGCATTGGTATGACTTAGGTGTAGCTGGGGTAGTACCCCAGTTAAGTATCCCGCCTGATCCGTCACGCTTCAAAGCAACCGCGCGCAGCTGCTGTCCATAATGACGAAGTCCAAGTTGGCCCTGGCAGATAGATTGGAACATATTAGTCACGGCCGTAGCGTCACACTCAGGGCGCCGCATAAGATTAGAAGGACTGGGATGTGGCGACCTGGTGAAAGAAACAAGCACCGGCGAGCCTCGACTCCAGATAGCGCGTAGGAGTGGAGTAACTTCGAAGAGCTGGGTCCAGTCGTTGAATACAAAGCCAAGCCCCTCGTCACATCTGTGATATCGGTAGTCTGCTAGGGAACTCACATTGAATTCCATCTTGGCGAGCCATCGGGCTTGAGTGCCTAAGCGAGTGATGAAGGTGCTAGATATCTCAGCGTAGGAGTGGTATGTTGAACGTCTGATATCCGGTTCCAAGGTAAATGTATTGTTGGCGTAGAAAGATGAAGCGGCCTCATGGTATAGCTTTCGACAGGAGAGGAAGAGACTTGTCGGAATGCGTGACTGGTCGTTGAGATATAGACCTAGATCGCAAGTCCAAGGCTCTATTCCGTGGTATCGTACTTCAAGCGGTGTCGGAGATTTGACCACGTAATCATAAATCTGATTACGGATTTCGCCTGGTAGCTCCAAGAAGGAGTGCTTGTCTGGGTTCGCGCGTTTCGAGTCGCCGGGAGCAACAGGTGAGGCGTAATAGAATTCTTCCCTTAGGGATCTGAACTTAACGAGCTCGTGATCCCATGTTCCACAGTCGAATGTGTCAAATGTGGACATGGCGTTGACTGACATTTTCGGTGGTTGAGGAGAAGGTACTGGAGGCGCCGAAGTACTTATACCTTGAAGGAAGCGAGACCCCAAGTACCACCCAGGAGTCTGCCAGGCACCCAACGCCCCTGAGAAACGCAACGCCAGGATCCACATAGTGAATGCTCTGGGTACGTGGCCAACATCGGAGAAGTCCTCCAGTCGTATGAAAAGTTTCGTGAGCGAATGGACGTAATGATAGACCCTGAACGCGATAAGATCCTATCGCTCAAACCACCACTACCACGCCCCCCATCGGCCGTGAAGCTTACAGTCCATACCCCCTCAACCACCTCAACTCCCTCGCCTGATGCTCCAACGCCCTCCTCATCTCCACCCCATACTGTCTCTCCCTCAACTTCTCTCCTCCCTCCTCCCCATCACCCTGCCTCTCCAACGCATCCTCAAAAACATCCCTCGCCATCGGCGGTTCCTTGCCAAAGCCCAGCAGACCCAGTTTCCCGTCTCCAGTCCACAGAACAAGGTTATTCAGACCGAGAGACTCCGTTCCAGAAGAAGAAGCGGGAGAGTAAGGCGTAAGCAAAGAGGAATTCGTCGTAGGCAAAATCTTCTGCACAATATCCCCCCACCCCGCTTCCTCATCCGGCGTCGCATTCACAAGACTACTATGATGACGTTCCGTTACAGCCTCCCCATCCTTGCCCCTCTGGAAATCATTAATGTTGAATTGCCGCACAGGCGTACTCCCATCCCGTTCCACCCACTTCAAATTCCCATCTCCATCCGAGAAAACGAGTCTCGTACCCTGCGGCGCGACAGTCAATAACTTGGAACTACTGGCCGTCTGACGATTCTGATAATACGCTTTCTGATTGCGCGTCGTGCGGCTGTCGCTCGAGTTGATGGAACGAGACGGTTCGTTGGATAAGCCGTATAATTCCAACGAGCCTTTGCCTTTGTATTCACCCGCTGCGATCAACGTATACCCGCGTGTCGATTTCGTTTCGCGCAACAATGCTGGACTGCTATACGGTCTGCCCAGTCTCAGATCTTGTGGTACAAAGGGATGCGGTATAGCCGTGATACAAGACAGCCTTGCGCCAGAATGCACAGTACCGCGTAGTCTGGGGAAAGACCTCCGGTCAAAGTTCAACATGCTGGTGAAGCGTCCTGCGACCCAGATATCGCCGTTTCCATCCCAGTTGCGCGTTGTAGGTAGGTGAAGTATGGACAGCGCACCGGGCTGGGAGAGCGAGACGTGGCCGTCAAAGTCGCCGGTATCGAGGCGCGAGAAGTCGCTGTCGGTTGGGCCGCCGATGAGCTCGCAGCGGACGGAGGAAGGTGGGGCGGGAGGTTTGCGCGAGTCGTGGAGGTGTAGCGTCCAGTTTGTGCCGACTGTGAGGGGAGTGCGGTGGTGGGCTTCGGAGAGGGCGGTGATGGGGAAGGGGTACGGCGTGCGTGAGACGACTTGGAGGGTGTTGAGGTCGACTTCGTTGAGGGCGTTTTTGACGGCGAAGAAGCCTTTGTGGAGTTTGCTGTCGATGCTCACGCATTCGACGGCACCGGTTTCTGTCATGATGGCTTGGCTTTGTGTGAGGCGCGTGTCGTAGTCGAGGTCTGAGCCTCTGCCTGGTAGCAGCCCGATGTCGCTCTTCGCTATCATCTTGCCCTGTCGGTCGCTGCTCGCTGAGGCGTCCCAGATGCTGATACTGCCATCGTCGAGTGGAGCGATGAGCTTGTCTGCTAAGCCATCGTCGTCGAATAGAATACCTGCACCCGTAGCCTCCCTCCTTATGACCCCCTCGTCACTCTCCTCCGTCCCAGCATCCTGGAACCAGCTGATCTTCTGCTCGGCATGGCGCTGTATAAAGTCCTGGTACCAATTCACCTTCTCGTCAGGGTAACTAGGATCCCAATTCGCAATCAGCGCCTGCCTGCGCTTCTCCTGATTGCGTTCCTGCTGTGACTCAGCGCTTGGTGCGCTCTCATCGTGTACAGAGGTATCAAAGGTGTTGGCAAGCGTGTCGGCGGCGCGTATCAGCTCGGCGAGGCGGGGGTCGATGTCGGTGGTGATTTCGAGACGGCGGCGGCGGCGCTCAGCGACCGAGTGGGTGAAGCATAGCGACTTCCAGAGGTTGTTGTCGCGTGAGAGGTTCAGGAAGCGACGCGACACGTGTTGGAGGGCGACGAGCTCCGAGGGTTCGAGGTCTAGGGAGGGTCAGGGCTGGGTGGGGGATGCGCGTGATGGGCACGGATGCTTACAGGAGATGATGTGGAGGATCAACTCGTCGGGTAGGTGTATCATGGTTATTGAATATATGAGAACGCTATGAGAGTAGATAGAAAGAGACAGACAGGTGTTGTAGTCTAGATATCGGGAACAATGGCGAATGCGACACGTTTATCTTTCGCATCTCACGGTCGAGATTCAAGGGCTCAAGGGCTGACGACATGCCGCCTCGGCCCATGACTCGTTGCCCTTTCTCCACACACCGCCTTTCCTCATCAAGCTCACCGAAAAGGGAGGTTGATATGTGAGTATAGCGTAATTTGATTGTATAATGTTCATGACTATCCGCTGCTAAGATTCTTAACAATGTAAGTAACGTGAGTCTTTCATTTCAAGATTAGAATGCTATCTGAATCCTACTCATTACACACGAAAGAATCCGTGCATGGTATCATCCCTATATTTTGCTTCAAGAACGAAAAAGAAGACCGAAATGCCCCATATCCCATGCCTTTGTGTATACTCCCAAAACGCCCCCACCCAATGTCATATCCACGCTCTACCGATGATGCATCTGCTTCTCCACATCCTCCGGCGGCGTCGTCACACTCGGCAGCTCCGCCACAGGCTGCGGTGGCCTATACGCCTGATACGGCTGCCCCTTCTCATTCAGCACCGGATTCACACTAGTATCCGCCAGCTCCATAGCCTCAGGATGCTGCGCATGCGCAAACGCAGCCTGATTACTCGCAGGTGAGTACTGCGGCGGAATAGTATCCCAAGTCGTCCTATTCGGATCGCCGTTTCCGCCTCCGATTCCAACGGCGTCGGGTCCGTAAGGCGTGCCCTGATGACCCGGTTGAAACCCGTTTCCAGACGGTAATTCAGACACGCGATTTGCGCGCCCCGCGCCAATTGGGTTCCCGTCGATTTCCGCGGTTGCAGGGCGCGAGTTGCGGTATGTTTCTTTCTTGCTCTTGTTGAGTTTTCCAGCAGCAGCACCACCAACAAGAGGACTATCGCCCTCGACTTCGGAGGCTGGGTCGTGGTAGGGATTCGCTTTTTGTTGGCGGCGCTTGCGGAGGAGCCAGAAGATTATGCCGACGAGGGCGAGGGCGAGGGGGATGCCGACTGCGCAGCCGATTATGAGACCGAGGTTGGATTTTGAGCTGCCGGAGGATGAGGAGTCGTTGTTGGCGTTGCTGGAGCCGGCGGTTGGGGTCGGGGTTACGAGGACGGTGTTTTGGATTGTTACGACGCCGCCGCCGGCGCTTGTGGAGAGGCTTTGGATTACGGAACTGAAGGGCGTGGTCGCGGCGTCGTCGGCAGTTGCGGTTGCAGAACCGGAGTTGGGGGCGTCGGTAGAGGGAGATCCTGAAGAGCCTCCTGCTGTCGTCTTCGATGCTTGGTTTCCTCCTCCTGATCCACCGCCGCTCTGCGCCAGACCGGTGATAGTCGCAAGGTTAGGAGCAGTCGAAGCTTGATTTTGGCCAATGGTCGCATACGCCTTTCCATCCTGCAGCGCGAAGAAGGGTCGTGGCGATGGTGATTCCTTGCAGCAATTTACGTTTACAGCGTCTGCGTTGCAGCACCACTGGTCATCGTGGTCCTTGCATTGTGTGATCGACTCGCCTCCAACAGCTTTCACATCTGCTGGATCTTAGCAATGATCAATTGGAGAATTTGAGGTACTTACCGCCGTTACTGATTGTGCACATGTTCGAGGCACAGCCTTCTGCTTTCCAGTCCTTGTCCGTACAGCTGTATCTGCCGTACAGGTTGCCGGCCGGTAAATGGCAGAGACCATTGTCCAAGCATTCCCAGGTATCAGGACAGCAAGCAGAACCCTCTACTGACGAGCAGGGCTTTTCTGATTTTGCCGCCTCTTCGCCATTGGGGTAGTCTGTTCGATTAGTTGTTGCTCGGCGATGAGGTCAAGTAGGTCTTACAGCATTTCTGAGCAATAGCGTGTGTCGCAAAAGCAACAACAGCAGCAGCGCGCATCCACCTGAGAGTAGGCATAATGCGCGTGTACCAGAAGGGTCCCTTGCTCGGTGAAAAGGCGATACCAGAAAAGCTCAATCAATCCTTGCAGTCGGTGTCAAGATCGCAGCGGCGACGATAGTGGAGCCCTCTCAGAAAAGGTGAAGTGAGAGCGAAGCGAGCAAAAAGTCCCGAAAGAATCGAGAGTGTAGAAAGCAAGCAGGTGCCAGCCGACAAACTCAAAGACACAAGACAAGGGAAAGACACTGCACGATGATCGCACGCCCGTTTGCACGCCCCAGTCTCGCTCATCCTGGATATACACCGAACGAAGCACCCACCCAAGCAAACTTTACCCCATTCGATCCAATTAAACTACAGTCTCCACAGTCACGCCCCCCTCGGTTGCTCGCAGTCCGTTCGTTTAGTTACCGAGAGGCTGGGCGGGTCACGGTGAGGTCATCGGGAAATACCATCACCACCATCAACCCATGCACAGCGGCGCTCACGTTCCTTGCACTAGGCCCGAGCGGCCGCCCTCGCCCTCGTATCAGCAGCGTGCGCCAGGCAGGAATTTGGAAAGGTTGCGATGCGAGGTGGTACCAAGGCGGCGATGGCGATCACCCATGCGATGCGGCGATGTTTGTGGCTGAGGCAGAGTGAAACTAACGCGTGGTCTTTGATTGTGCGTAGTTTGGTATGCAAGACGCAGTCTGAAGCTGTTGGAGCCCGCAGAGTGAACACCGACTGCGACTGTTACTGCGCAGGACTGACCTACCCTACCTGCCGCTCTGCGATGCGATGCGATACGAGCGATCGCCGCCCGCCATTTCGACCGTCGCGGACACTCACACCAGTGCTCGCATGATTCAAGCCAGAAAACCGGCTTTCCCAGCCCTTGTGCGCTACAACTGTTCGCTGTCTCCCACCAACCCTGCGGATATCCGTCTCTTATATTAGACAGGTGTCGCAGGACATATGCGCTTTTGACCCAATTGCCATGTCTCGCTTCAGAGCGTCGCATGTTGAACCACCCCATCCTTTTCACTCCGCGGCTCCTATTCCACACAGCAATAACATGATTAATATCCCGTGTCTACCTCGCTTCTATGACAGCGAAGGCGGTGGGATCGACCAATAGTCGGTAATGAGCGCTTCGTATCACGGCGGATGGTGGTGTTTGAGCTATGCGGATGCGGATGACGTGCCTGGTGGTCCTGTTGCACGGGGGAAAGGTCCCGAGGTCGATGTTGCAAGCGGAAGATTCTAAAATTCTAAATACGGTGGGTGTGCACGCCAACAATGCAGGTGGTCTCTCAGCCTTGCGACACCGTTCAGAGACGGCGTGCTTGCCCTGCGTCAGGACTGCGACTTCATGCACACCCTTTTCTCTGGTGGCTTCGCGCGGACTTCGTATTTGTGGCATCGGAATGTTCGGCGCGACATTGTTGGCTTTATTAAGGTGTATGCAGGTGTTGTCGATCTACCGGGCCTTACGCTGTCATCTTCCTGGGGAGTGCATTGCCCAGGTGTTGCAGGTAAACATTATGTGTAACCCAAGAAGTTGGTCCTGCGCACAACATTGCACGAGGCAGTGCATTCTTTTCCAAGTTGACAGGTTACACGGCATCCCATCAACCAAACATCAATTGTCAAAGGATCTTGTTCAAAAGAGCGAGGATATGGTAGGCTCAACCTCGGCACAACCTCACCTTCCATCGGTCCTTCGTGTTCTTTAGAAGACTCCTTAGTGCTGCAACATTCGGCGCGCGACTCCACCAAGACACTTTGCCTCCCGTATTCGGTCGCTTCACGGATTAGTGATAGACGGTCGTGCTGCGCTAGGCAATCAATAGCCGGTTCAGGGTCGGCATCTGTACTAGATTACCTATCAGGAACCGCATCTGTAAAAGCTTGTGACCATTGGAGAGTACCTAGGTATCATTGCATGGCAAGATACCTACATACGCATTGTGGTCTTCATCGTACTACAATATCGACAAACTTACTCCCACGTCACCCTAGGAAAGACCCGAACGCCCTGGAGGCTACATCGACGTCAAGTTACCAACTCTGCATTTTTTTTTCATTTTGATGTAGTCGGTAGATCTGCTTTCCTGCCTTACAATCACCACCCATTCATCGAAACGTTAGAGTCTGAAGAAGCGAAAACGGACCGTTGCTGGCGACATGCTCTACCTAGATCTTCAATGATGAAGATTGCCGCGCATACCTACCATCTCATCCTGCCACCACACCGCAACCACCGACACATCCTCCCTCTCACCCAACCCCTGTCTCTGACCGATACCACACTCATCTTGTCCTACGAGCGGCGTACATCCCATTGATTCGTTGTGCATATCAAAGGACATCCTTTCGATCGACCGGTCTTACCGTCCTAAAGTCAAGAATACATCCAAGACCAACAATAGCAAAGCAGAAAGGAGAGCAGAGTCACAGCTAATACCAAGCTCATCAAGCAAGATCAATAGTCTGGTTGGCGGAGGTGTAGGCATAATAGTTCTGAGGCCATCAGCTCAAGTATACCAAGGTGCAGCTGTAGGTCATAAACCACCAGCAACCACACATCTCCCTCATACACAGCCGCACTGACATCACAGATGAGGCATCATCACGTCACACAGTCGACTTCAAGCCCGACGGTATTGTAGGTTTTCATCTCATTCATGATGCCTATCAAACATGCAGGATGCAGGCAAGGCTGTTTATGCCTTGCCCTCCTTGCAAGCCAGCAGTATTACGTGCCCGGCTATCCCACCCTCCCCTCTTCCTAAATCATGATATCATATCGAAAGAAATCGTTCGTCGTTCATGTTGAAGCTGAAGCTGAAGCTGAAGCTGAAGCAGCAACAAAGCGTTTAGTGGGCTTGACGTCCGCCCTGGGTCTCGTTGGTGATGCCGATGCGCTCGGAGTTCTATTCATCACACACAAACACATTAGCAACTGTCCTTCACAAGACGGGGGGTAAGATCGAGCCAACATACCTCAGAGCTCTGCACACTACCCTCCTGCAGAATCTTCTTGAAAATATCATCCTCCTTGGCATCTTTACCAAACTCGTTCTCAAGCTGCTGCTTGCTAGCCGTGTTGAGGACACCTTGCTTGCCGTGTTCAGGAACAAGCACCTTCCAACCCGCAACAACGTCGACCATGGGAATCGTGCTATCAGCCTTCCACTTCTGAAGCTCCTCTACGCTCTCGACGAAGATGCAGAATTGGTCGCCGGAGCTGCCCTTGTAGAAGACTTGGGTTTGGGGGGAGTTGCCGCGGGCCATTATTGTGTGATTAACTCGTTGGTTTTCGGTTCGTTTGGGTATATGGAGGTTGGTTTGAGTGGTTTGAGTGTTGTAGTAAAGTAGGGAGGAGTGTGTAATGGGTATTCGAGTGATGTGCTTGTAATGTGGGAGAATGGAGGGGAAGCTTTAGAGGGGCTATTTAGAGCTACGTGATCTGGAGCTTTGACCGGGTGGGCGGCTACGTCATTGCCAAGGGTCATTGCACGCTCTCACCTGGCATGGTAATTGCGCACGCAAGCTCTCACGCCTTGTTTTGCATTTTGCATTGAGGCTCTTTGGGCTGAAACAAGATGACAAGGATGGAGGCCGGTCTTGCGTGCCGGCTGTGTTCTGCTTCATCCCGCCATGTTATGAGGTAGAACCTCAACCAAGAGTAAACGTCAAGTGCGCATCTCACTCAACTAATCCAGATCATATAACCATGATTCAATCATTACTATCCAAATACTCTGATCCCATCACAAACAAACGCCACCCCTCCATCATGCGATCGCGTGCCCAGGTACCAGTACGTACGTGTCCATGCCCCAAACTCGCTAGCCGCATGACGTCATACCGAGTTCCCGATCCCCCAGACTTTCAACCAACCCGCCATCAACGGTGGCTGCCCAGATCGTGAGAGAGAGCGGGTGTACCTTGCAGTAACGTTCTGCTGATCGCATGATTAATCATTATTCTTGTTACACTGGCCCTTGGTTATCGGAGATGTTGCCGTCGCCGTCGTCTCAGTCGTGGTATTCATGTTCTCGTACTTGCTGTTGGAGCAAGGATAGTGTGGTCGTTACGTCGTCAAGGGAAGTATGTACTTGCAATGCGTTGCCGTTTTGTGGACACCCAATGCGTGTCCAGTGTGGTATGTAATGTTGGTCCAACAGGATATGTGTGTTGGATTATCGGAAGAAATTAAAGATCCTACTCTTGCTCTTCGAAAACTTGTTCGAGGTCGAGTGGTTTGAAGATGCAGGCCGGGATTCGGGAGTGGGCTCTTCTTGCCGTCGCTGTTTCCTGTTTTCTATGTTTTTGATTACCTCGGCGCAAGGGGGTGGTGCGCGTACGGTGGTTGCTGTTGACGCGTGGGAGACGGTTCTCTCAGTGACGCGAGCGCGTGATTCTGATCGTGGGAGACTGATCAGATGCGTGGAGAGACGTCGAACTTTCTTCGGCTTGCTCTGTAGTGGCTTATCGGTTGGACGCTCTACGCCTATCGCTCGATTGGCAAGACGGCGGCGTCTACTCGAAGGTCGTGTGTCTTCGACCTCAAAGTCCTCAGGTAGGAACGCAGCGGGTGCGGAATGGAAGTCGACAAGTGCAGGGGTCGGCCTTCGATCAGTCGCCGATTGAGCTCGCAGGTTCCCGTTCGACATCTTATGAACGCGGCTTCCGAAAGAGTCTTCTGACCGCGTGTTGCTCGTGTTGGAAAGACTGGGCGAGCGACGCGAGAAATTGCTTGCTATGCTTGCTATGCTTAGCTTTCGCATCACTGAGTTTGCTGAAGCTCTGATTTGGTTCTCCATCCTCCGATTTGACATGCCCGGAAAGGGCAACATGTCTTTTGTCCATACGTCTTCCAATGTACTCTCGAGACGTACGCGCTCAGCTCGTCGCGGGGCAAGTATAGGGATGTGATTTGCGGAGAGGTGCGATTGAGATCGAGTTACTATACTTGGCGAAAACGTCGGAGGCGTATCGGGTAGCTTTTGCGCCTGGGTGTTCTTGATAATGACTTGACTCGTGTTGGTCTTCGCACCGAGAGTCGCCGCTCGATGGACTGACATGCGTCGTACTAGAGTATTTGCATGACCGAAGACAGGCCCAAGAGACTTGAGGCCTAGCGATAGGGATGTATACATGTCCTGCATGGTTGACTGGCCTTCGACGAAATCGTGTGTCTCATAAACAATACGCTCGCGCAGCTGCTTTTTCCAAACCTCCTCTTCGTGAGAAGTGCAGGCGCTGAAGATGAGTTCGTGTAAGCGATGACCGTGCTCAAAGACGAACTTCCATGTATGTGGGGCAGTATGGCACTGTATGCCGCGGCCGTTATCACATTCCTCGATGCTGGCGTTGGCAAGCCCGATCGAAGCGACGACGGTATATGGCGTATGGAACCGGCTCGCTGTCGCAAGTACAAGGCATGATTTGTACAAAACGCAAACCATGTACGCACCCTTTATACGATCGGGTGTTTGATATGTCACATGTAGAGCGCCACATAGGAGAACATGCCCGAGAAGGCGGAAGACAAGAGCTCGAGAAATCTTCTGCTCTGAGAACGCCAGTCGATCTTGTAGCTGCCATGTAATCTCAATAAGTCTCCGGGTCTGAGGGTCGTCTTTTGCCTTGTTGACTTCGCGGATTGTCTCTTGCAGCCGAAAAAGAGCTTTTTCGAGCTCGGCATGCGCTTCTGGATCGTCGTAGACGGGAGTGTGGCGGCATAGGTCGTCGAACAGTAGAGGGTACTTGCACACCCTCTGGATTGGTTTAATCAAGAGATCTGGAAAGCTGAGCGCCTTCTTGCTACCTGCCTCTCGGTTATTCTCCGATGCGACCACCTTCTGCAGCGCTTCGACACCGCGCTCGTATTCTTGCCAGCCATGCAGTCCTTTGCACATGGTGGTGAGATCTTGCGACATGGTCGTCCAATGCGCGCCGTACTCCTCGTATGTGAAGAAGCGTTTCATCTGATTTTGTTAGCGAAGAGTATTGCAAGAGTCGCGTATAGCTTACATGTTTGTTGAAGATCTTGGCAATGTTCCCGGCCGTCTGCGTGTCCGTTACTAGGCCTCGCGGTCTGCGGTCTGGCGATCGTCCAATCTCCAAAGAATGCCTCAGCCTCCTGGCAGTCTTGTGTTCGGCAAAGCGCCCCGGCACAATGTCGGCGCTATGAAAGCGGATATGTTTGGCTTTTGTCACAGGATACGTCTCCTGGTACGCGCTTCTGGTGAAGTCTGCCTGAGGTACAACTTGGTGAAGTTCGGCGAGCAAGTCTTCGTGAAGCTGTAGAATCTGGGAGATATTCTGTTGTATGGATGATCGTGTCTGGCCTGACAGAGTAGGAAGGGCAGTAAGGATCATGAAATAGTCCTGCTTAGATTAGAATGGTAGAGTCAACCCGGTGGTAGGTAACATACGTTGATCAGGACCTTGAGGTCTGCAATGTAGCTCTCTTCCGAGGAGATCAGCTCCTCAACAACCTTGCGACGCTGTAGTGATCGAAGCCACGCGCTCTCATCAAGCACGGGCCCTAGCGCACCACGATGACTCTCAAGTGATCTGCGCGCTTCGGAATAATTGCTGCTTCTGTTACCCAAGCGAACCTTCCCTGGTACTCCAGCTTCTGAGCGTGGTGCAATGCTCGCGCTGCCGATGGTCATCGAAGTCGACTTCATTGCTGTCACATAGCCCATTGACGATGTCATAGACTCGGATGTCCTGCGCACAGATTCAGACAGCCTTCCCAGCGGTCGAGAGAGGACAGACATGCCATCGGCGGTGTCGAAGGATAGCCGTGGTATTTCAGCGACGTTATCCCTCCACCTGTGCGCGTGTCGACGCCTCAAAGTGCTCATCCACCGCCGAAAGGGCTGTGAGGATACAGAGATAGTCGCAGGCGCTTCTTCGTAGTCTTCGCGCGGCTCATCTCCGTCATTATCGGTGAAGCGACCTTCTGGCAATGGCACGTGTATGGCTTCGTATAGATTGAACAGATGTGTCTCTTCGAAGTCGTGGTCGTCAATGTCCATGTCATCAGCCGAGCTGTCACTGTCAGAGGAAGGTTCCGCTATTTGCTGCGAGCTGTGATATCCTCTCGTATGCGGCCTCGGTGGGACTGTAAGTCTCGAGAAAGATGGCGGTGGTCGGTCAGGCCCACAGTTCCGCTTGCGTGGCTCTTCGATGACGTGTCTGGTACTGAATGGGAAGCCTCCTTTCTCAGGCACGAGATCGAGGAGCGACTGAGAGGTAAGTGGTGGTGTGTTCTCGTTGCTCCGAGACCAGTCGCCTGCCCTAGTCGCCCCGAGGGAATACAACGAGCACGCGGAAGCATTGCGAGCAGTAATGTCGCTCAGTGGTGGCAGTAGTGTGTCTTTCTGAGGGGAGCAGGAGTTGAGGTATGGATTGTCGCTGAAGGACCGCTTGAGGGGGCTCTGAGGCCGGAGCGACAACACATATGCCATGTCCGTGGTCGTACGGTCGACACTGGATAGGACGGGTACGAAGGCTTTCAGCGCATGAGATAAATACTACTGCATCCAACGACGATGGTTTAAGGAGAGACAAGTGAGCTGCAGAGCGATAAGGAAGCTGGCTGAGGCATTTTGGATATGACTACTGGCTAGGACGGGAGGAAAGCGCAGAGGCGCAAAGTTCTCAAGAGCGTAATGGCGGCATCTAAGGGAAAGGGTCCAGACGGCGCGCAGTAAAGCGCATTCTACACAGGCTATTCGTTAGGGGCGAGTGGTGAGCCATCGACGAGGACCGCTAACATGGCGGCCGCGTTGCTCTCACCAAATCTTGGTAGTCGCGACTCACCATGACGGCAGAACAAGAATGTCGGTAGCCGACCCGAGCCATTGCAAGACTGAGCATACTATGCAGCTGAAGCATACTCCTAGTTTAGCACGCACAGAGGTCACGCGCGTGTCCTGGGGATAGTGAAGTTTGGTAGAGAAGTGAGGGAGGAAAAAGGAAGGCGACCGTCCAGGCGGTTTTGCCCCGCACAGCTCAAGCTCCCTCAAGCTCCCACCCCACATCCAAGCTCCAGTTGTAGTAAGCATTCACGCACTCTCAACTCTGCGGCGGCGACAAACATTCCACACCATGGATGATATACACGCGCCAACCGTCTCGTCTGGGCCCACGTCTGCAGGCTACTCCAATGGCATACCGAAAGAGCAGCTGACGCTGCAGGAGCTCATGGCCGAGAAGGACCGAGTAGAGACAGAGTTGAAGGCATTAGGGCAGGTGCTGGATTCGGTACGCAAATCAAGGCTATGGGCGGGATAAGCAGTTGACGTCTTGTTGTAGCATGGCGTCCGCATGAGCACCGGCCTGACCACCCTGGACGGTTTTCCACGCAGTGATATCGATGTCCCCCAGAGTAAGGAGCGGTGATCTTCGACGTCACTCAGGGTCGCTGACCGTCGCAGTCCGAACCACGCGCGCGCGCATCATACGGCTGAAGAATGACTACAAGGACCTCATGTCGCGCATCGAGAAGGGCCTCCACGAGCACCACGCGCGGCTGGCAGCGCAGGCGGGCGACGCGACGACGGCCAACGGCGCCCAAGCAGGGCTGAGCGCACCGCCTGCCGCACTCGAAGCGCCCTTTGCAAAGGTCAACAGCGTCGTGGCAGACAGCCCAGCAGCGACGGCGGGCTTACAGGTGTACGACACCATAACCAAGTTCGGCTGGGTGGACTGGACAAACCACGAGAACCTGTCGCGCGTGGCCGAGGCCGTGTCGCAGAACGAAGGGGTACGTCGCATCAGGCTGCACAGGATGCTGTCTTCAGTCGGGCGTGCAGCAGGCTGACAAGTGCAGATTCCCATTACCGTCAAGGCGCTGCGACCCAACCCATCGGGCGGCCCGGCAGAGACAGTTGAGATGCAACTCACACCGCGGAGGAACTGGGGCGGAAGGGGGCTGTTGGGCTGTCACTTGCTGCCCATGTAGTGTATTATAAATCACGAGATACGTCGAGCTGGGAGATACGTCGAGTGGATGGGTGGCAGGCAAGGCTGGCGGCAGCGCGCGTGGCGCACTCGGTTTGGCCAACAAGCATAGCATGATACCCGGCGTTGTTTGCTTTGGGATGAAACAGAAAGGAATTGCTAGTAAATCACAATCTATGACTGTATTCAAGTGCAAGGCAAACCCGGGCGGTTGAGACAAAGAAGCCTATAGCTGCCTAACGCTGCCTCTGCCTCTGCCTCTGCCTGCCTGCCTGCCTGTGAGGTCAAAATTGCGGAAGGCGCCAAGAGATTTACACCGCCCGGGGCGCCAACACTTCAGCACAACAAAACCTCTTCTTGCCCACCTCACGCCCGCTACTTTCCCCACTCTTTATCACCCGTGAGTCTGCACCACCGTCTTTTGCTCAATAACCCTGTGCGACCCCGACTGACATCTTTTCCATAACAGACTCTGCCCACTACCCCCCTCACACACCACATCACCCCGCCACACACCCGACACCATGGCCGAGACTGCCGCAAGCTCAGTCCCTACCTTCAAGCTCGTGCTTGTCGGCGACGGTGGTACCGGAAAGGTATGACGCCCATTCCGACGCTTCTCGCGATAGCAGCCGGTCTATTGAGACGGCCGCGCGACTGCGAGACTGCGAGAATTTGAGACTGCGATGCAGGTTGCTAACAGCCCCACCACAGACGACCTTCGTCAAGCGCCATTTGACCGGAGAGTTCGAAAAGAAGTACATCGCGACGCTCGGAGTAGAGGTCCACCCCCTCGGCTTCACCACAGTACGTTATCCGACCCTCTGCCGCCCGCGACACGCCTGCTAACAAGACGACAGAACCTCGGCCAGATCCAGTTCGACGTCTGGGACACCGCCGGTCAGGAGAAGTTCGGTGGTCTCCGCGATGGATACTACATCAACGGACAGTGCGGTATCATCATGTTCGACGTCACCTCGCGTATCACATACAAGAACGTCCCCAACTGGCACCGTACGTGCGCCCACAACACCCCGAGACGCATTCGCTAACAGCCCCAGGTGACTTGGTCCGTGTCTGCGAGAACATCCCCATCGTCCTCACCGGTAACAAGGTCGACGTCAAGGAGCGCAAGGTCAAGGCAAAGTCCATCACCTTCCACCGAAAGAAGAACCTCCAGTACTACGACATCTCCGCCAAGTCCAACTACAACTTCGAGAAGCCCTTCCTCTGGCTCGCCCGGAAACTCGTCGGCAACCAGTCTCTCGACTTTGTCGCCGCCCCCGCTCTGGCGCCTCCCGAGGTCCAGGTCGACCAGGCCGTTCTCGACCAGTACCGACAGGAGATGGAGAACGCCGCCCAGATGCCTCTGCCCGATGAGGACGACGCCGATTTGTAGATACGGTCATGAGCTTGCTCTAGGCCACGGCTAGGGCTCTAATGGGTATACGACATGGACGAGATTTAGTGGAATGGGACAATGGATATGCAGCTCGAGAATTGAGGACATTCTTGGCGAAAACGGGGCATGCGGAGGAGGACTGGCGGAAGTATCCGACTGGAAGCGCTGGACTAGCCGGCGTTTCGACGAATGAACAATAGACTGTTCCTGATCAACCAGAACATTCAGAATGTGATGGAGAAAGCTTTTCGATTCTACTATTAACACGCACAAGGGCGTTGCGACTACTACTACAACAGCACATTTCGTATCTTCATTATATTCCAACTCCGCTTGCTCGGACTTTTCAATGGAATGCGCCGCCCACCGCCCAGACACGATAGAAGAAATGACGCGTGATGTCAGTATGCTCATAATACGGACAAGCAGAGTCGCATAATAGCGGATCAAAGCGACGACCGAAAAATTGACAAGTAGAAGGCTCGCTCGCTCGCTCGCTGTAGTCGGGAAACGACCGTTTTTGACGCGCGCGACGGAGACAACGGATGAAAATGATTACAACGCGCAAGTAAACAAGGACGATGCGAGACGAAAACGAAAGCGAAAAGACGAGAAGGTACGTCTACGATTTCAGCATCCTGCGATAATGTTAGCCCGAGTCCAAACACAGCAAGCAAGTGTAGAAAAGAAAGGGAAGTACTCACGGAGCGATCAACTGCGCATACTGCTGCTGCGGCACACTCCTCCCCTCCTCAATAACACCCCTAATAACATCATCCTGCTGCAAATTGCTCCACAGATGTATACTCATCGCCTTCTTGCTATTAAAGAGCGTATGCGCCACACCCCTCACCTGCCCGAGCACCACATTCGCAATCGGCCACGTATTGCTGTATTGCTGCAGCGTGCCGACATCCAGCCGGATGCTCTGTTTGATAATGTCGTCCTGGCCGTCGGGGACGAGGAAGGACCAGTAGGAGAGGTGCACGACGGACGCCATTACGACGACGCAGGTGAAGAAGGGGGTGTGGTAGAGTAAGGGGCCGGGGAGCCGGATGAGCGAGGAGATGTTTTCGGCGGAGGTGAGGCATTTCGCGGTGTGGATTTCGCGGGTTTGCGTGGGGAGGAGAACTTGCCCGGGTTGCACGCATATGTTTACGCCTTCGACGCGGCCGAAACCGAGGTTGCTGCGCGGGCGGTGCAGCATTATTGTGCTGCCGGCGTTTACCATGTGGGCCTGGAAGAGCACTTCGTCGATGTGGCCGTCGTTGGAGACGATGTCTGTTTTTGAGGCGGGGAGGTGTAAGCGCCAGTTGCACAGGTATTGGTCTACGACGTCGACGGCGTGGTATTCAAAGGTGGAGTCTAGACGCGCGCATTCGAAGACTTTTCCTAGGATGCGGATGGCGTCGATGAGGTAGGTGAAGGAGGAGAAGGTTGTGAAGTGGGGGAGGAAGGCCGAGTCGTCGTAGTCGGAGAGGGTGGAGGGGTAGGGTATTTGCTGTTTGTGGGTTGTTAGTTTAGTGATCTGTATAAGGTTTTGGGTGTGTAGTCCCAGGAGTATGGGTATGCAATCGGCAGGACCCCCACCCCACATGTATGACATGCATCGATCCCCATCATCGGATGTATGACATGCAGTCAGATGATCTCATCTCGAGTACCTAAGAGCGGCACGGGTTCGCACTAAGAAGGGAAACATGCCAAGCCGATTTGACACATGTCAGATCTGATGTCAGGGGAGTGGGTACTTACACCTGAAAAGTACTCGACGTTCTCACAGGGCAGTGGCACGTCGGTTACAACATCTTTCAGTCGGAATTGCACGCCCGGGTTGACGGCTGTCATCATGCCGTTGGCCGTGAACATGGACCACCACGTTCTCCGCCAACTTTCTTCCAGCTGCGGGTCGTTTTCGCCGTGCATCAGCGCGAATTCCATACGGTTGAGGCCGATCTCCAGCGTCAGGTTTTGGGCTATGGTGAAGATCTGGGCGGCGCGGGGGACTTCGTTGTGGGCGTGGAGGCCGATGGCGAAGAGGAGCAGGGCTTGGACCGACCACGCATCTCTTGGGTAGTTGTTGCTGTCTATCTGGCGATCTAACGCTTCCTTGTACATGGCCGTGGGTACCGAAGGTATGTAGCTGGATCCGATGAAATGCACGGCATGTTCCAAGAGTGGGGCATGTCGTTCCTTGAAGAGTTCCACTAACCTCCGTTCCGGAAGGCAGAATGGATGTGAGTTGTAGAAGAAGTGGTAGAAGGCCTGCACAGCCGTCTCGGGTCCCAAGTGGCCAAACCGGTTCAGACGCGCGGATCCATTTAGGTTGAGTTGAGCAACTGGTGGGGCTACAGGTCGGACGCCAAGACCGTGAGTTGGGCTGAGCTGGTTCATGCCAGCATCGCCGTTGTACGAGTACTCAGGTGACGAGATGTGGCCATTGCTGGCTTGGACTTCAGATGCAGATATTCCTAATTCAGGTTAGATTTTGGGTTGATATTGTCGTCGTTGCGATATACCCACCATTCGGGGTCGTGGACGCGCCCGTGTCTTCCTTGGTTTTCCGCTTGCCCTTCCAGCCTCTTCGCGACTTGATGTAGGTACATTCCACGTTGTCGGTCCTACATCGGGAACATCGCACACCACCGTCGCATTTCAAGTGTCTACTGCGACATGGAACGCACGCGACAGCGACCGAGGCTCTGGTCTGGTCGTTATTTGACTGCTTCTGGCTGTTCTTCTGGCCGGTTCCTTTGCTGCCGCCGCTGTCCGACTGGGGCGTTTGCGCCGGGGGAGTCCCGCCATTGATGCTGCTCTGGGTGGTGATACTCTGTGTCGGCGACAAATGGAGCCCTAGCGAGGGCGACAATGGCGATGTGGAGTCCGGTGAGAAGTCCTGGTGGCCGCCCCAGTAAGTGGGATCTACGCCAGCCGAGATGTTCGAAGGAGCGCCGTTCATGTGTTGCCCCGGCATCGCCATGGCAGAGGGAGGCATCGCAACAGAACGGTCTACGCGCAGGCGATTCAGAATCCACGGTATCCAGGTCGGCGTGGGCTTTGCGACTGTGCGTAGGTAGAGACGTTGAGGTTGCAACGGGTGCGGGCTGCTAGTCCTGTTGACCCGGCACGTGACGCCCGTCTACTCGGCCTAGCGCTGAAATCGCCAAAAGCTTCCGAAGCCTCCTTCCATCTTGCACCCAATCGGCCGTCTCCGCCCAACTCAAGACGCCAACCGCAGGACGCAAGGAGAGCCTCAGCCTCTTTGTTGTCGGCCCCTATGTGATCGTCGCCCCATTCAGCTCAGGACAGCATCTTCTGTGCAACACCATCGTACCGTCAACCTGGCCGGCCTGCCCCGTTGCCCTTTTGACGCACCGTTGGATCCTGCCGTCGCCTGTACTTCGCTTGTACCGCTTCAACGCAAGCCGGCCGGGACTGAAACGCACAGTGGGCGAATCGGAACTAACGAGCTGTCTCCACGGCACTGCCGTCGTCCATTACTGGGCCGTTTGCGCGCATTCCCGTCACCGCCGTATCGCTAGCCTGGATTCCGCCTTCGCTTTTGCCATTTTATCGTGGGGTTAGTGGTTCTGCGCACGTTCGGCGGAAAGGGTTGAGTGTAGCGAGCCAGCTGAAGTAGTCGCCTCGCCACATGCTCTTACACGTTCCATTGGACTATGTCTTAGTCACGGAAATGGTACCGCGCCTGCGATGTAGCAGCACAATGTGTCTCTAAGATTTCGGCTCGATGCAACCTGGCCTTGGCTCGAGATGCTGCCACAGCCTTATCTGATACCAGCGATGAACCCACACACACGACGCCAAAAAGCAATCCAGCGTTCATCTCGATTGGCCAAAATTGGGCTGTCTAGGCGCTGAACGCATATGAAAGGAGGCGTACCTGCGCGTTGCCTCTAAGCCTCGTCGACTCTCCACTAGGTTTCGCTCATTACTAGGTCTCGCTCATTTCCGTGATCTGGCTACGACGTCCTGGAAACTATCAGCCATGCAGCTACTTTACGCGACAATGAAAGAGGGCAATGATCAAGCTTGCACTGGTCGTTCAGTGAGAATTCATGGGAAATTGGGTATTAAATTTCAGTCCACGAAATGCTCGAGCACTGCGAGCTAACCATCCATGATCTATCTTGCTGCTCACAAGAGAAGAAATGCCGCTGATGCTAGGATATGCAGGGAAAGGATGATGAAGGAAACCGTGCAGGGCCACTCAGCACGCCCTTTGTCTACGACTCTACACACCTAGCTTTAGTGAAGTTCCATACGTCACCGGAACAGTCATTCAAAGACCTCTCAGCCCTCCACTGCAGCTCGGTCTCTGCTCGTCGCACCTCCGCCACGCAGAAGCCAACATCTCCAGCCCTGCGGCCGACTTCCCTGGCGGGAATCTTCCGTTGTGATGCGTCCTCTAAACTCTGGAGTACCTCACGGACAGTATGTCCTCGTCCCGTACCTGAGTCGAAGTCAGTACACAGACCTTAGTGTGAGACGTTCTCATATAAGGCCTCCACTTACCAAGGTTGTACGTGCGAAATGGTGCTAAAGTACGACCGGCCGTCGAAGCTGCCAAAGCCGCAATATGGCCCCGAGCCAGATCGACGACGTGGATGAAGTCCCGCACTGCCGTGCCGTCTGGGGTGTTCCAATCTGTGCCGAAGATGTCCAGCACTGGCTTTGTCCCTGTCAGGACTGTTGCGATAACTGGAATCAGATTGCTCGGTTTCTGTCGAGGATCTTCACCCAGAATACCAGACTCGTGGCAACCAACCTGGAGTTGTTAGACACGTCTCATACGTACCCTGATCATCGAATGTACTTACCGGGTTGAAGTACCGTAGGGCGGTTATGGACCATGTGGGGTCGGAAAGCGCAAGGTCTGCCAGAATGGACTCGCACATGAACTTGGACCGACCATACGGTGATGTGAGGCCCAGAACGCCCGGCAAAACTCGGCGTTCTGCTCCGTCGCTGTCCAAGAAAGATTCTGGGTGATGCACGCACAGTTCTTCGCGCAGAGGTAGCCCGCAATTAGCACCCTCGCCATAGACTGTTGCAGAAGAGGAGAACACGAAGTTCTTGATGCCAAAATCCTCTAGCAACCCCAGAAAGTCGACCAGCCCGCAGACGTTGTTGCTGTAGTATCTTAACGGCATCCGGATGCTCTCTTCAACCGACTTGTACGCCGCGAAATGGATAACGCCGGATATTCTGGACAGTCTTTCAACGACAGGTTCTTGCGCGTCGTCCATATCCATGTCGATACCGGAGTCTGTTCGCTGCAAAGTCGAGTATGGGAATCGTGCTGGCGTAGGCGCTGGCTTGCTGATGATCGAATACGATGAGTAGCTGGCCAGTACCGTCTTCATGTGTGCACTCCTGTAATCCAGCTGACGGAAGTGCAACGCTGGCATTCGTCGCCCATGCGCCGTGCAGAAGTCAATCGCAAGACCCCGCACCCTGTTCAGGACGGTTTCGTACGAGTTACTCAAGTCATCGATGACCAGCACGTTGTAGCCTTCTTTGAGCAACTCCAATACGGTATGCGAGCCGATGTATCCCAGCCCACCGACGACCATGATGAAGGTCGACGTGGATCCATCGATGTTCAGAGGATCCGCTACTACATCGTCGTCGAATAGCACCGATCGCTGTGTTCCCGGTGTATTGAGTACTTCCGGTGTGACGGAGGGCGATAGCGAATACGTCGAAGAGGATGACGACATCTTGCACAATTATGCTTGGCGAATGGACGAATGTATGGAAGAAGAGCGAGTGCGTTGATTGTTACGGCGCTACCTTTCTCGATACGTCCGAAATTCTTTATACGCGCCACAACTCTCAACAACAGCCTCAAATCACGAGCAATTAGGCAGAAGACATCGAAGTCAGACTTTTCCTGCGCCGTCAATATTGTTTACATTGCTTGGCACAATGCGGCCTCTTCATCCCGACTCATCAGTTTCGGAGTCTCCTCAGGTCTAGCACTCTCAAAATATACTCTCGCATCGCTAACGATCCCTGTCCAATCTGCATAGCCAAGTGCGCAATAAGTACCCGTGTGGTTGCATTGCCGCGTCCTCTAATCTCTCAAAATACCATCATCTGGGCCGTCAGAGATTCAACGTGGGCATACTGCGAGGCTTCGCTCGACTACTCGATCCCGGCATCTGTCAGCGTCTTCTTGGTGCCCAAACACACCATAAGGATATCCATTACATGTTTGCGTTCGTCAGTATCCGTAAGCTGTGTTTCTCCAGATCTTACCCTCTATCGGCTCATCTCCGTTTGGGCCAGCGTCTCGTCATCGGCTCCTAGCCTGCCGTGCTCAAAGCAGAGTCATGGACGGACTCAGCTCCGTAATTGTTCCGCTCTACGTCTACCCCTCAGCAGGCGCGTGGGATCCGTTTCACGATGTGTACGATACGGTACCTCTACTATTGTCGCTACTCATCCGTACCGGGACTAACGACATGTACTACTTCCAGAGCATCATCGTTCCCTCGTGTACACTTTACAGTCGTGGTCAATGTGCATAACGGGCCAGGAGAGGGTGCACTACCGAACGCAGAATATACCGCAGCCATCGAGGCCCTCAACTCGCTCAGTAATGTACGCACTATCGGCTATGTGGCAACCACGTGGTGTACCAGGGACTTGAGTTCTGTGCTGGATGACATTGCTGCGTTTTCATTCTGGGGCGAATATGATTCCTCACTGGCTCTGAGTGGTGTCTTCGTTGATGAGACGCCTACCCAATACTCTACAGACTATGCCGTGTATCTCGATAGCATCGCTCAAGCTGTTCAAGACAGCACCGGACTAAAGGACGACTATATTGGTAAGCTCAGCCCGTCTTCTTCTGTATTGAAAGTAAGACCGTCACCGAAGCCGGCTTTCGAGGCTCCTGTCGTGTTGCTGTACACTTTACCATGCGTCCTCAAATGGGTCTCTTTCTACTGCAGGCGAAAAGAACCATCATTGTCCAACTCCGGCAGTTACATGAGCGTAAGGCTGACACTGCACTATAGTTCACAACCCTGGCGCTCTTCCAGAGCCTCGTTACTTTGATGAGACATTGTTCACTGGGCCGGACTTGACCGTTGTTTTCGAGAACTCATTTTCCAATTGGACGACCGAAAGTGGCGAGCTCTTCAAGGCGACGGGTTCATATGATCGCGAAAAGCTTGCGCTGCTTGTGCACTCCACACCGGATCTGTCGATTCTCGAGACGGCTAGTACGCTATTGCAATTACTAGCCGTAGGCCGCGGGATCTGGTTAACAGGCAGCTCGAACTATACCGAGCTCGACGGTGTGCTACCTGCGTTTATCGAAGGCTTGGATGCGCTGTTGAGTTGAGGGTCACAGCCTTGGAACTGAATGATGTAGATATCAGGTCATCGATCGCTAAATCCACGCAAGACACCCACGTCTTCAACAGTTGTCGTTTCCGTGTCAGTCTCAACTACTTCATCGCCTACGAGCACTTATGCGGCAAGCCTTAATCACTTGACTGCACTGTCTAGAGACCTGGGGCTGAGTGATCCTGATCTTCGGATTGAAGCTGGCATGCAGAAGGAAAGGATCTTCTGGTCACGACTGCTTCGTACTACCGTGGCTTTCTCAACAGCGAGCCGGCTAATGCGCCGTGACGAGGCGTGTCAAGGGCGGTCCGCGATGTAAGAAGTCCTTCCGTGACACAAGCGGTCCGCCACTCCGTCGGTTGAATCCGAGGAAAGCTTACGAGGAATTATCCCAGCTACACAATGCCGTCTTCAAACAAGCAACGATCATCGAAAAGCCCGCCTTGAAATTTTCGACTACCAAGTATTCCATCCGGTTGGCTCTAATATTACCCCGAGAGCTCCCCTGTTTGCCGCTTTAGGCGGCAGATCTAGCTCACTCAACCCCTGTCCATTTCCCCGGATCAAACAAACAAGCCTTTCGTCCTGCACTAGAGCTGCATACACACTTTATTTCAACCTTGGCCTTCATTTCGAAATTCAATCTCTGCTGCGTACCGCGTCGGCCCATGTCTATTTGTGCATCTTCCCAAGCGATGCTCCAGGCTTCGATATTGACACTTTCCTTGATGTATGTCATCCTTGGATGAGCACCGGAGTTACTTCGCGACGGGATGGAGACCAAGTACCGGCGGCTCTGCGAAGACATACAATGAACGTGCTGCATGGATAGGTGTAGAGGGCCGAAGTCGTGCCGCCATGACTGCTACCTCGCGGCCTGTCGCGCTCCTCCGCATCATGCTTCTAACCTTCGCTTACAGCATACTGTGCAGGTTTCTCGTTCCACATGAACCTCTCCAGCTGCATTCAAAGGATGCGTCCGTTGCGCTTCCGTTCGGTTGGGTCTGGAAGCGAGATGCCAACTTTCGGATCACACCACAAGCAACACGAGGTCAACAACACGAAGCAAACCTCGGCCAAGATAGCTCTTGATACGTATGGCTATTTACAGCCATTCGTCCTGCCAGTTCGCTAGGCCTTCACAGGTAGAGAACAAAACACGATGAGACGACGCCATTGCGCGTGATCAGCCTCGCTAAATGACGACATCGATATGCGGGACTCACCTACCTATATTGACAAGAGCTCTCGTAAACCACGCATACTGGCTTGTAGGGATGTACATAATATACATCCAGTAGACTGCGTAGCGGAGTCTATTCGCCTCATGCTAATGTTTCAGTTACACAGAGTGGATCCCAATATATGCGGCAGGACCCGACTACCGAATACGGAAAGTCAATTGGCGTGATCGCAACCACACGAACGACTTTCGATACTCTCAGAGGCTCGTATCGCACGCCGATACGGTGGATGTACCGCCCATGGTGGCTTGCATCAAAGGAAGGATCCGTGTGACGTGTGTTCCGGTTCGCTGGTACGAACAGGTCTGCAACAGACCCGAAAAAACCTCAATGTCGACCCGCGTAACGCATCGAGATCCATGGTCAATCTAGGCGCTTCGTATTGTATGCGACATGTACGTTCGTCCCGGCCATACCGCGCATCTGGCCCCGAGCGACGGTCCTCTCGCCGTCTGGGGACTTACACACCTGCCACTAACGTCGTAATTCAGATCTGGAAACTAATGCAACATCTTGTATCGGGACCGGTGCACCAGATCGCGCTCTAGAACCAGATGAATACGCCACTCTGCCTCGACATCTCAGCCCCACCCGGCAACTTGCTCGAACAAGTCAGCTTACCCGCTCGACCAGAAGTCTTACTATACCGACCGCAGGCGAGATATTAGACGGCTTCAATATGCCGAGCATACCTACCGCAAACGACATACCCGCCTCAGATTTTCCACCTCACCTGCATCGGATATTGAATCGCATTCAACCGGCCGGTAGCTACACCTTGGCAAAATCGACCCGTACCGAGATTGAATACATACTATGCATACTCTCTGCTTGATGCATCAAACAAGCAAAATGCTGGTAACGCCATATTCCACCAGTGAGCTGGTCAGCCTCAAACACACGCCACCGATGTCAGATTCCCGGCCGTAGCACACCATCACTTCGGTAGGAAGAGCCGGTGTAAGCAGGGGTTCTCCAGCTTTCACGACGGCTAAAGCCAGGTTGCATAGCCCGAGGCTGTGTGTGCTGTGTGTGCTGTGTGATATACGGCTAGCAGAAGGGAAGGGTATGGGAGCTGGGGTAGCGGAGATGTGGAAGAATGGAGTTGGGCGTGAGAGTTTTGCTTGCCGGGAATACTGGGAGGCATACCGCTTAGAAGTCTGACTGACTCGTGTGCTGCTGGTACAGTGTTTCATCACGATCTGAAGATGTTGCTGCAGAGAGAACGCCTTGTCAGCAGACAGCATGAGGCAGGTCACGGGGGTTGACCTCCATCGTTGACCTCGCAGGTATAGGAACTACCACATCATGTGATCAGAGCAGGTTGTACTCAGCATAGGTGACTACGATAACCCGGTTGTGTCGCAAAGCTTGATACAGCTAAGCATGCTGGTTTAGCGACGAAACCATGCGCATTCGAGCTTAAACACAACATTAGGTGTCAGAAGTAATGGGCAGATTTCTATGAACAAAGACGTTATCATGAGCTATACCACTACATCCCTCTCCCCTTCTCTACCCATGGCCCCCCACCCCCTCATCCACATCCGTAACCTCAACTCTTCTATCACAAAACTCCACCCACCCATCCAACTCCATCTTCTTCAGCACCGTACTAAACCCCTCGCTCCCCTCCCCCTTCCCCTCTCTATCACAATACCTCCCCACAACATCTTCCTCCAACCCTTGTTCCGCCCCCGCCCCATCTGGATACTCGATATGAAACACAGGTTTCCCCGCTGCGATAAACGGGGCGAAGGTGCTGCACTCACCGTACTTTGCGCATTGCTCGTTTACGCTGAAATGGACAATGGGGAGGACGGCGGGGATGATGTCGCCGGCGTTTTTTAGGCCGAGAGTGAGGTTTAGGGGGTTGGTGAGGGAGGAGAGGTATTGGAGGTAGGAGATTGAGGAGGAGGGGGTGAGGGAGAGGGCGTTGTTGTTTTGCTGGTGGGGTTGTTAGTATATACATATATTTATACGGATGGAGATGGTATGGAGGGTGGGTATTTACTTACGTATCCATCAACGTTATCAGGATCAACACCATCACACCCTTTCTCCTTCGCCAGATCTACCCTGTTTTTCATCACCCTCCTCACATTCTCACTGTTCAGATCCAACCATTTCTCACCCGGCCACCCATCTAGATCACGCCCGAGATCTTCTTTCTTGAACTCCGACGCGTCAGGTCGCCAGTCCTCGTAGCTGCCTGCGCTGAAATAGCATATCACTTTCTTTCCCATGGAGTGTAGTTGTCGTATCGTCTCGGTGGGCGTGTCGAAGAGATCGATGTCGAAGATGCTCACGTTGGGCGTTGTGCTGGTGTCTGAGGAGGAGAGAACGGGTGGGTGGGAGAGGACGATTTGCCAGGTATCGGATACGGATGGTGTCCATGGGAGTGTGGTGTTTGGTGTGGGGAGGGGTGCTAGGGTAGAGGTCGGTGGTGAAGTGTTGTCGTTGCCGTCGTCGTTATCGCGTCCCAATGTGAGGCCTAGTCCTAGACCAAGGCCTAAGGCGAGGATTAGGATGACGATGCCGACGGCGATGAGGATCTTGCGCCGTAGAGACCATGGCTGTCGTGCTTTGGGTTTCGTGTACATTATGCCTTTGAGCGACGGGTTGCTAGGCACAGAAGATCAGATATGCCGTCTCTCTAGAACTTCCTTCCACCGACGCAGAGTTTCCGATCACACTCTGGGCACGATGCTTTCAATCATAGAAGACCTGGTTATAATAGCTCTACCAAGTTCACGACTCTTACGCGCCGATAACCCATACCCGACTCTCCGCAAACGCTTCGAAAAAAATCGATAGCCTGGGAATATCTCGAGAAGACGCGTCGCAAGCGGCGCAGTGACGTGCGCCACCCTTGCATATGTAGGCAATATACAATTGTTGTATGTAAGACATATAGTAACTGCAATTGGTGTAGCGCTCATGCAGTCATATTGCGGGTGAGGCGTGCCGAAGGAATTCGCTCCCGGTTGGAAAGGTTGGCAGCTGAACACACTGTCGATCGATGCGGGTGCGACCATTAGTTTAGTTGTTAGGAAAAGGCCACAGTATAACGGCAGGACTGGATCGCTTTCGAGAGACGATGTGACTACGTGTCGGGTGTGGTGATACTGGAAAACGCAGGTAGCGAAATGCGGCGCAGCTGTCCCGCCAGGTTGGTTCTGATGTTCACCCATATTGATGCTGTGGCTGTGCGAATGTGGGGTTAGCTCAGGGGTCAGAGATGACCGCCTAAACTCCGCAGCTGTTCACTGGTCATGCTGGATGCAGGGAAAAAAACACAGAGACAATTTTGACTGAGCTTCAGCTAAAAGATATACATTGAAGATGACAATTGCGATAATGACCGACGCCATGTTCTTCCAAAGGATGCTTGTGTTTACAGCGGAATGGCCTTTGAGAACTTGTACTGCCTGCTTGCACCGCTCATAGTCACCCATAGCGTGAGTGGATCACTTCCCAGTTGCTCTTTCGTTGCGCCCGTCGTGATTGCCACAGCACCTGGTACGGTGATGGGTATGGTAGTGCCACATTTGTTTCCACCTGCGGTGTAGACATTAACAGACTCGATGTTGGCGCCGTTGGCGGATGTAGTCCAGGTCAAGCTGGGTCGGCATAGGTCGCGAGTTTGACGGTTGATGAACTGCTGTGCGAGATCATCGTGCTTGAGGGTCTTGAAAGGCCAGGTGGTGCTGCAGTGTGTTAGTGGGATGTTTATCCAGCGAAGCAAGGG